TTGACTTTGTCCGGCTCTGACGCGGTGCTGATGTTTGGTTAAACACTAAAATGAGATAAACCAGGTAAAGGAGGGCGCTGGGCAGGGAGGAGAGAGTGGGGTGGCCAATGTCACCCTCGGCTGGCACAGGACACCAACCCCTGCTGGGTGAGGCTGCTGTCCCCATGTGCTGTGTCCCCCTGTGACCCGTGTCCCCTCTGCAGGTGGACAGTGACACCATCTGGAACGAGCTGCACTCGTCCAACGCCGCGCGCTGGGCCGCGGGCAGTGTCACCGAGCTGGCCTTCAAGGTGGCCACCAGGGAGCTGAAGGTAGGGGGGGCCTGGGCGGTCCCAGGGCTGTGTCACCCCATGGCTGGGGGTCCCTGAGTGGTGTCACCCCATGGTTTGGGGGTCCCAGGGCTGTGTCACCCCATGGCTGGGGGTCCCAGAACTGTGTCACCCCACAGCTGGGCTGTGTCCCCCATGGCTGAGGGTCCCTGAGTGGTGTCACCCACGGTTGGGGGTCCCAGGGCTGTGTCACCCCACAGCTGGGCTGTGTCACCCCATGGCCAGGAGTCCCTGAGTGGTGTCACCCCATGGTTTGGGGTCCCAGGGCTGTGTCACCCCATGGCCAGGAGTCCCTGAGTGAGGTCCCCCCACATCCAGGGGTCCCAGGGCTGTGTGGCACTGGGGACAGGGGCTGGGTGTCCCCCTGGGGTGGCAGCTCTGACCTGGCCCCTGCTCTGTCCCCAGAACGGCTTTGCTGTGGTGCGGCCACCCGGACACCACGCGGATCCATCCACGGCCATGTAAGGCCCCTCCCTCCCTGAGGCACCCGGGGAGCCCCAAAAGCAGCTCCAGGGCTCAAAACCACCCCAAAACCCCCCTGGGAGCCACCCCTGCCCAGGGGGAGCTCGGGAAGGGCCCGAGGTGACTCCCACCCCTCTTCCCAGGGGATTCTGCTTCTTTAACTCGGTGGCCATCGCTGCCAGGCAGCTGCAGCAGAAGGGGAAGCTCAGCAAGATCCTCATCGTGGACTGGGTGAGTCCCCCCCGTCCCCAGGATGTCCCCAGGATGTCCCCAGGGCCAGTTCCTGCTCCAGCTCTTGTGGGATTGTGGCTGGAACCCCTCAGTGCGCTCAGGACTGGGGAGCAGGAGCAGATCCTGACCTGGGGGACCCAGCCCCGCCTGCTTTGGGCTCTGTGAGGTTCTGGGGCCGCCCAGCAGCTGCCAAAATCCTCTCTGGGTGTCCCTGCAGGACGTTCACCACGGCAACGGGACCCAGCAGATTTTCTACAGGGACCCCGAGGTTCTCTACATCTCCCTGCACCGCCACGACGACGGCAACTTCTTCCCGGGCAGCGGGGCTGCTGATGAGGTGGGAGGGGACAGAGGGGACAGCAGGACACAGCTGGACACAGCTGGACACAGGGGCTGAGCGGGGACAGGGCCTTGGGGGCTCCTTTCCCACCCCTGACCCTGCCTGGGCCGCCCAGCATGGGGATGGAGATGGATGGGAAGGCAGGAAAATCCCGGGGTCCTGACCCCGCTGTGGCACTGGGCAGGGGGGACAGGACCCCCAGAATGCTGAGCATGGTACAGAACAGGGGGCTGGGACCCCCAAACACCCTCCCATGGCACAGGACAGAGGGCTGGGACCCCCACCTGGCTCCCCCAGAGCCTCACCCTGTCCTTGCTCCCTCCCAGGTGGGCGCTGGTCCCGGCGAGGGCTTCAACGTCAACGTGGCCTGGGCTGGAGGGCTTGACCCCCCCATGGGGGACCCCGAGTACCTGGCTGCCTTCAGGTAATGTCCCCATGCCCGTGTGCCATGCTCTGGGTGGGGCTGACCCCGTTCCTCATCCCCCATGTGGGGCTGACCCCACTCCTCATTCCCTTTTCCCCCCATGTGGGGCTGACCCCATTTCCCGTCCCCTTTCCCCCAGGACCGTGGTGATGCCCATTGCCCACGAGTTCTGCCCCGACGTGGTGCTGGTGTCGGCCGGATTCGACGCAGCCGAGGGCCACCCGCCCCCCCTGGGGGGCTACAAAGTCTCTGCCAAGTGTAAGGAGGTGGCTCAGGGTGGGCTGGGACCCCCTTGGGGTCAGGTGTCCCCCCTTGGGGTGGGGTGTCCCCCTCCCACCCAGGCTGGGACCCCCGGGAAGGGGCAGCCACTCCTGGGGGAGCCACGGGAGATTTTGGGGTTGGGTTTGGGCAGGGGGAGGTGACACTCCTGGTGTCCCACAGGTTTGGGCAGGGGGAGGTGACACTCCTGGTGTCCCACAGGTTTTGGCTACATGACCAAGCAGCTGATGAGCCTGGCAGGGGGGGCCGTGGTGCTGGCACTGGAGGGGGGGCACGACCTCACGGCCATTTGTGACGCGTCTGAGGCCTGCGTGTCCGCCCTGCTGGGCCACGAGGTGAGAGCCAGGCTGGACTGGCACTGACCCTGCGCCACTGCCCTGGCCTGGGCACAGCCCCCCATGAACCTCCCATGTCCCCCAGTGCCACCACCCTCCATGTCCCCCGTGTCCCCCCGTGTCCCCCACAGCCGGAGCCACTCCCCGAGGACAGCCTGAGGCAGAAGCCCAACGCCAACGCCGTGCGCTCCCTGGAGGCCGTGATCCAGGTCCAGAGTGAGTGGAAACCTGGGACACCCCTAACCTGGGTTATCCCTAACATGGGACACCCCTAACCTGGGTTATCCCTAACCTGGGACACCCCTAACCTGGGTTATCCCTAACCTGGGTTATCCCTGTCCTGGGCCACCCCTAACCTGGGACACCCCTGTCCTGGGACACCCCTAACCTGGGCTATCCCTAACCTGGGACACCCCTAACCTGGGTTATCCCTAACCTGGGTTATCCCTGTCCTGAGCCACCCCTAACCTGGGACATCCTGTCCCGGGCTATCCTTATCCTGTATCCCTGTCCCTGGCTATCCTGGGCTATCCCTGTCCCAGTGTCCCCAGCCCCGCTGTCCCCTCCCACAGGTAGATACTGGGTGGCCGTGCAGCGCTTCGCCTCCAAGCTGGGCTGCTCCTTCCTCGAGGCTCAGCACCACGAGGCCGACGAGGTGGAGACGGTCACGGCCCTGGCGTCGCTCTCGGTGGCCGTGATGGTGGAGAAGAGGTGACATTCCTGGGACTACCCTGTGCCAGGGGGGTGGCAGCAGGGCAGGGCAGTGTCCCCACCCTGGATGAGGCTCTGGGCTCCTGGGAGCCCCGTGCTGGGCTCATCCCAAATGGAAACCCAACCAAACCCTGCTGGGAACCCCGTGCTGGGCTCATCCCAAATGGAAACCCAACCAAACCCTCCTGCCTTGGGGTGGGGGTGTCAGCCCTGCCAGCAGCATCCCCTCCTGTCCCCTCCCTGTGTCACAGCCGTGGGATGTGGCCCCTCACGTGTCCGGTTCCCTCACAGGGCACAGGAGGAGCCCATGGAGCAGGAGGAGCCCATGAACCAGTGACCCTTGGGGACATTCCCGGCGTGGCTGGAGCCCCCGAAGATCCCGATCCCGTTTGTCCCCCTCGCTCCCGAGGCCCTGGGTGGGCCTGGACTCCTGGAAGGGACATTCCCACATCCAACAGGACGGGACCACGGCGAGCCCCGAGCCTGGACCGTGCCCAAAGCACCCCCCCCCCAATTTTGGGACCCCTCGAGGGGGTGAAGCCCCCCCAGCCCTGCGGCACTGACCCCCCCATCCCGGGACCCTCCTCAGCAGGAAGGGCCGGACATTGGGATGGACGCTCGGACCACCCTGGGGACAGCTCCCAGAGCCCAGGAGGAGCATCCTGGGGTTTGCTCCAGGGGATGGGATCTCTGTGCCCTCTCCAGAGGGTCCCTGGCTCCCCTCACCCTGCTGGGGCACAGGGACAGAGTGGCAGGGACAGGGCTGGCAGCTCGGAAGCATCCCCAGGAAGGTTTAGGGCATCCCAAGGAAGGTTTGGAGGTCCTCAAGGAAGGTTTGGGGCATCCCAAGGAAGGTTTGGGGCACCCCAAGGAAGATATGAAGCATCCCAAGGAAGGTTTGGAGCTCCCCAAGGAAGGTTTGGGGCATCCCAAGGAAGATTTGGATCCTCCCAAGGAAGGTTTGGATCCTCCCAAGGAAGGTTCGGAGCTCCCCAAGGAATGTCTGGAGCCCCCCAAGGAAGGTTTGGATCCTCCCAAGGAATGTCTGGAGCCCCCCAAGGAATGTCTGGAGCCCCCGCAGCGAGGACAGAGCGGGGCCGGGTGCGGGCAGTGCCCGGGGGTCCCCCCTGCCCTCGCTGCCCCCTGCCCCAGTTTGCACTATGGACCCTGCCAGCCCTGATGTGAACCCCACTCCTCTTCCTGGGGGAATTTTGGGTGCCTCGAGCCCCTTCCAGCCCCCCGAGGCCCTGGCTGGGTGGGGGTCCAGCCCCTGAGTCCCTCCCCAGCCCAGGCTCCCCAATTCCCACTGGGGATCCCCCAGGGATGCCCAAACCCCCTCGGTCCTGTCCCCATCCCTGTCCCTGACCTGGGGTGACAGGGGCAGATCCAGAGCCTCCAACCCGAGGCTTCCACCCCAATTTCCCTTTTCCCATTTCCCCAAAAGCCTTCCCTGCACCCTGAGGGGCCCCAGGAGCAGGCCCTGTCCTGGGGCTCTGGGGACAGAGGGGACAGAGGGGACACAGCCCTGGGGACAGAGGGGACACAGCCCGGGCTGAGCTGGGCGTGGGGAAGCTCCGGCCGTGGTGGCGGGAGGAGATTTTGTATAAAAACAAAACAAAACAAAAAAAAAAAAGAAATTTTAAAAGAAAAAAGAGGAATCAAAACCCTTGGTGTGGCTCCGGGTGGGGGTCCTTGGGTGGAGGGGGGTGGAGGGACCTCCCAGGCTCCATCCTGCTGGAATTTACCAGGAGGAATCCACCATGCACAGGATGATGTTTTCCTCATTTTAAGGGTTTTTGGCTCATTTTAAAGTTTTTTTTTTTTTTTTTTTTCATTTAAAATGCAGGGATTTTTTTTTAACAAACAAGATGCACCAAAATACTTGAAAATATTCTTTTAAAAATATATTTCACCTTTAAAAAAAAAAATTGGTTGGAAGCTGGAGTCTCACTCCACAGATAAGTTTTTGCCCTTTATTTTTCAAGCACAATTTATTATTTTTTGAAAGAAGATTTTAAGTTCTGAAGCCGATTTTGTTTCTCAGCTGTAAAATCCTTCCCGTGAGGCGCCGAACGAAGCCACCACAGCCTCGTTTTTAACAGAACTCTGATTTTTTTTAAGCACCTCCAGGTTTTTTTGAAGGCTGCAGTTGACTCCCCAGAGCAGGGAATCCACTCCCACTGCACATACAAATTGGGAATTGGGTAGAAAAAGTCACTCTGGGCCTTCCCGTGGCTCCTCTGTGGATTCTCTGGTGCGCCCCAAACCTGATCACAACTGGAATTCCTCTCCCATGGAATATTTGGGGGCTCAGGTCTGTTGCAGCCTCCCTGGAAGGGATTTCCCCCCTCTTTTTTCTGCTGTAACAGGCAAAAAAAACTGATTTTTTTTTTTTTCCTTATTCCAATAAAAGCGGCCCAGCCGAGGGAGGTGCAGGGGGGAGCCGGCAGCACCATTCCCTAGGAAAAACGAGGATTGAACCCTGGAAAATTCCCCTTGGGCTTTATTGGGGTCATTTTGGACACCCCAAAACCTCCATCGTCCTTTCCCCACACCCCCAAAAATCCCAAACCCGTTCAGAGTTCCCAAAACGGCTCCAAAATCCCAAAATTCCCAACGGCTCCATCTCCAGCTTTGATAAATCCCGAGGAATTGGGAGCTTCCACCGGGGCGTTGGTGGGGCCCATCCGTGGGGCAGGGGGTGCCTGGGGGGTTCAGCAGCCCCCAGATCCCCCCGAATCCTCATCATCCATGGGAACACAATCCATGGGATCGTCCTGGCATGGAGCCTCCGGAGCGGGATGAAAGTGGGGGGACCCCCGAGGTCCTTGGGGGGCTCCAGCCCTTCCCCTTCTCCTCATCCTGGAGGAATTTTCCTGCTCGAGGCAGCTCCAGGAAGGGCTCGGCTTCCCAGCGGTCCCGCAGGAGGAAATTGGGATCTGGGGGTTCCTTACCTGCGAGCCCACAATCAATCACAGCCCCGAGTTCCTCCAGAGCATCTGAACCGACTCAAACCTGCTCCTGCTGCGGCTCCCTCGGGCTCATCCCTAAAGTTTTTGGGGTCCCTGGGGCTGTCAGGGGTTTGGGGGTCATTCCCTCCTCTCTCCAGGGAGGTTCCTGTGGAGTTTTGGGTGCTGGAGCTGCTTCCATCGAGGCGGAGACCTGGGGAGAGACAGTGGGGTCAGGCTGGGCTCAGCTTCCCAAAATCCTACAAATCCATGCCCTGGAGCCAGCAGGTTTATTCCATCCCCTCCCACTTTGTCTCTGGCTTTTTCCTCCTCACCGAGAGCTTCCCCTCTCTGGAGAGGAGCCTGGGAAGGGATAAATCAAATCCTCCAGGAATTCGGCCCCAGGAAGGGCTGAGGATAGAGGGGAAAATCCCCCAAAGGCCGAGGTGTGAGCCCTTGGAATGGGTGATGGGCACATCCAGGGGCTCGAGCACAATGAGCAGCCAAAATTCCAGAGTCATGGCCAGGCAGGACCATCCCAACCCAGCCCATGGGAAAATGGATCAGCTCCCTGAGCCCAGCGAGCTCTGATCCCAAGAAAACCCCTCCGGTGGGATTTTGGGAGCCTCTGGAGGGTTGGACAAGGTTTAACACCCAAAACCCTCCCGGGGGGACTCCAGGGCTGCCCGAGGGCTGTGGGAGCTTTGGGAGGAGCCCAGCGCTGCAGGATTTGGGATGGAGAAGCTCATGGAGCTCCCTCCTCGCCCTCCCTCGGCATCCCCGCCTTTGTCCGCCCCAGGAGCGGGGGCTGAGGCGGGCACGGGCGCTCCCGCAGCTCCTCCCGCAGCTCCTCCCGCAGCTCCTCCCGCAGCTCCTCCGCAGCTCCTCCCGCAGCTCCTCCCGCAGCTCCTCCCGCAGCTCCTCCCCAGCTCCTCCCCAGCTCCTCCCGCAGCTCCTCCCGCAGCGCCTCCCGCAGCTCCTCGCTCCCCCTCTGCTGCCGGAACCTTCCCTGACAGCCGGGATGAAAAACGGGCTCGTTCCCGAGGCATTCCCGGGGCCCAGGCAGCTCCAGCGAGCTCCTTGCAGGGGCCATAAACCCCGAGATATTTTCTCCTTCCCCAGGGCTGGATCCGTGATTTTCTGTCTGGATTAATTTTAACTAATCCTCAGCAGTGCAGGGACTCTGCCATGGAGAGCAGCTCCGTCCCTCTGGGTGTTTTTTTCTGTATTTAGTGAAAATGTGGAGGTTTTTGATGGAAAAACGAACCCAGCAGCTCTGGTCGTGCCCGTGACAATTCGGGGGATTTTGGGGAATGTCCCACATCCCTCACCAGGGCGGCTCCTCCAACACCTCCCCTTCCACCCCGAGTGAAAACACAGCTCTGGGAAGAGCAGATTTTGGGGAACCCTCCGGCCTCCAAACCTGCTCTGTTCCAGGGGGAAATCCCAGGAGCACCAAATCACCCAGGAACAGATTTCCCGGGATTCCAACAGCTCCTCACCTCTCCTGAGAACCCAGCCCCAAACTGGGGGTCCCGGACCACCCTGAGCACTTTAACCTGGGGGCTGGATCCACTTTGGAGGGACAGATTTGGGGTGGGAAGGGATCCCTACTCTCCTGCCCGGCTGCAGAGGGATCCGGGGGGTTTTAAAGCAGCTGGAGATGGATTTTCTGAGCAGGGAAATAATGGGGAATAGGGAACAGGGATGGGAGCTGTTCCCGAGCCCCCCCAGTGCCCCGGAGCAGCGAGAGGTGTTTATAAATAAAAGCAAATGAAGCAGCCGCCAGACAAAGCCGATTCCAGGCGAGAGCAACAGTCCCCAAAGGGAAGATTTATCCAAGGTCTTTCAGGAGAGACAATTAAGTGAGGGCAACGCGAGAGAGGCGATAAATCCAGGGAGACAAATGAAGGGCAAGGAACATCAGCCCTCAGCCTCTCCCCCCGGCAGTTCCAGCTCCCAGCCTCATTTTCTCCTCCAGCAGGGAAAGAAACCATTTTAATGTGCTCAAGACTCTGCCGAGAAAAGCTGAGCCGGGGGAACTTCAAACGTGATTTCTGTTGCCTGAGGGCTCCATCCCTCTTTTTCCCCGGCTGATGTCTCCTGGTTAACAAGGGCACATCCAGCTTTTCCAGCCCCCTTTGATATTTAATAGGCTGAGTTCCACCATCCAGGGGCTGCTTTCCATTAGGAAATCCCAACCCCGAGCTCCGGGGTCGTTCTCAGAGCCTCCCCAGCCCGGCACCGCTTCCCCCGCGGCTCTTCCCTGGTTTTGGGGCTTTGCTGGGAGAATCCCCGTCCCTCTCCGTCCCTGCCTGGCTGGGATTGTTCACCGGGACCCCAAAACGCCGCAGGCTTGCCCGGGGAGGGCGATTCCCTCCCCAGCTGGAGGATGCAGGCGCGGAGACGCTCGGGGTGGATTTTAACGGGAATGATGATCCCGCCGTGCTCACGGGAGCTCTCCAAAGTGACTGAAGGGTCTTTAATCCCTCTGTTTATCCCTCGGTTCTGCCAAGAACTCGGCTTAAATAAACAGCTCTGGGAGCCGCGCCGGGTTCCGCACACAGAGCGAGCAAAAACGGGTCTGGGGGTGCTGGGGAGGGGGCTCAGCCTCCCCCACCTCCCCAGGGCAAAGGGATTTTAGTCAGGCTTTGTAAAATTCGGGATGAGGTCGTGCCAAGCAGCTTCCCTGTCTTTGGGGAGAGCCCCCACAACACCCCCAAAACCGGAGAATCCAACCCCAAAGTGCCAAACCCAGAAGGGGCACGGGGGGCTCAGCATCCCCACTGGTCCTGGTGGATTTTGGGCATCCCAAAGTGAGGACAAGGGGCTCCTCCTCTGGCCAGCCCCGAGGGGAGGTGACCCGGCAAGGACAGGATTTAATGTCTGAAACAGGGTCTGCCCCTAAAAATTGATATTTTTACGTGAATTTAACAACGTGCCAGATTTCCTGCTGGCTGGGAGGAATCTGGCTGGCAAAGGGAGTTTCAAGGTGGCCCATCCTGAAAGGAAATCATCCCCTGGGAGATGCTCGGCACCCCGAGCCAGCCCTGGCACCTCCACGGCCTCGAGTTCGGGGCTGTTCGGTGCCTGAGGAGAGGCAGGAGGAGCCCAGGCCCTGTCTGGGGGCAGCGGGGCCCCTCGGGAGCCGGGCTCCCGTGAGGCATCCCCGGAGCTCGTGGCTCAGGAATGTCCTCTGGAACTTTCTGTTCCTGCTCTGCGGGAAGTGCCGGCGCCTCGTTGACCCCGCTCCTCCCATTCCCGATTCCTCCCAGCCCTAAAACTCTGAATTTTGGGTTATTCCCCTCTGAGCATCCTGAGCTGAGTCCATCAGATTTCCCCACACAGTGCAGGATTCCCACGGATCCAACGGGATCACGGGTCCCATCCTGAGTGCAGAGCTCTGGGACAGGAGCAGGGGAAGCCAGGCAGGCTGCAGGACATGAGGCCCCCCAGGGCAGGGCGGGTTTGACACCTCAGCAGCTCCAGCCGGACCAGGATGGGATTTGGGAATAAATCAGATTTTTAAAACCCCCTTTGGAACCTTTCCTACCCCTGCTGAGTGGGATCAGCTTGGGAACCGCCACCTCCTCCCGCTCTGGAGTCTGCTGGGACAAATCCCTCGTCCCCAGAGCGCCAGGGGGGCGGCCACGATTCCCAGCGGGTGACACGGCGGTGACGCGGCCACACGTACCCGGCTCAGTGCGACGCCGACATGGACCAGGCGCCCTCCATCCTCCACACGGAGAAGGCGTAGCTGAGCCTCTCATGGGCCAGGAAGTTGCAGCTGGTGGCGACCTTGTGGTCCAGCTCGTCGCTCTGCAGCACCTGGCACAGGAAGTCGATGTAGCGAGCGGCCAACTTGAGCGTCTGGATCTTGCTGAGCTTGTCCGAGGGCAGCGTGGGGATGATCTTGCGCAGCTCGGCGAAGGCGTCGTTGAGGGACTGGGTGCGCTGGCGCTCCCGCACGTTGGCGATGACGCGCTGGGCGTGGGCGTCCTCGGGGGGCTGCGGGGCCGGGCTGCGCCGGCTGCGCTTGCCCTGAGCCTCGGGGGCTCCGCCAGGGCCCTGCCCGCGCTTGCGGCCGCTCTTCCTGGGCAGCCGCTCGGCCTCGTCCTCGCTGGTGGCCGCGCTGCCCTCGGGGGACTCCGGGGAAAGGTTTTCCTCCTTCATCTCCTCGGCTCCCCGGGCTCCCGAGGCGCGGCCCGGAGCATTCGCCCTGGGGCTCCCCGGGCGCCCCAAGCCCCGCAGAGCCCTCCAAGGAGCTCCTTGGCTTTTCCTTTGGGCCAGGAGAGGAGGGCTCTGGGATGACTTCGGGAACGGCTCCTGCTGATAGGGCGAGCGGGGCGGGGGCGGACCAGGCGCAGACCAATGCAGGGGAACGCCAGCGGCTCTGGAGCTTATGGGTTCCAGATTTCCTCTCTCCCTCCCCACCGCCACCCCGAGCCCTCCGGCACAGATGCTCCGGCTGCCGCCCGGATGTCAGGGACGTTCTCGGTGCCAAGGGAGCCCCAGCCATGGAGCTCGGCGGTGGCTTTGGGGGGTTTTTAAAATGATCTTTCAACCCAGTTGACCCCACAAAGAAATATCCTCTTGTTTGGGGTGGAGGAGGAGACTTTCACCTGTGAGGGAGCCAGGTGGGGATGTGGAGCCACAGGGGTTGCAATGAGCGGGTCAGGAACTCCCAAAACCCAAAGGAAGAAGGAACCAAAGGGAGATCGGCATTCGTAGGGCTCTTGAGGAAAGGCTTCAGTCAAAATGAGCTTGAGTTTGTGTCCATTTGTCCATCCACCAGGCCATTTGTCCATCCATCCATCTGCCCATCCATCCATCCATCCATCCATCCATCCATCCATCCATCCCCCTCATCTCCCTCATCACCCTCATCCATCACCAAATTCCTGTCAAGTAAATCCAGTGGCTCCTGGGTGGAAGGGGAAAAGGAAGAGGAACAGGAAATGGAAGAGGAAGGGGAGCAGGAAGAAGAAGGGGAAGGGCAGGACCCCTCTGCTCTCTGGGAATGCCCCAGGAGGACGCGACTGGGGCCGGATCCGGAGCCCCCTGCTCCAGCAGCGCTGCCGAGGGCTGGGGAGCTGCCACCACCAGCTCCAGCTGAGGCTCGGCCTGTGCCTGGCCTTTATTCCTTCATTAATTCTTCTTTTTTTTTTTTCTTTTTTTTTTTTATTGTTTTCCTTTTAAAAGAAAACAAAATTGAATTGAATTTCGCCAGGAGAAGGGTTCTGGCCGGGGGAGGGGAGGTTTGGGATCGGGGCTGGGATCCCGGAGCGAAGGGAGGAACACAATGAGCTTTGAAGTGCAGGAAGGAGCAGCCCCACACCCCAAGGGGCTTTTGTCCCCACATTTGGAGGGGTTGTGGTTTTTCCCTCAAACATTTCAATTTGTTCTTTCAGTGAGTGTTTTTTTGGGAGGATATTCATCCAAACTTCTCATGGAAAGGTCACGAGGCACCAAAGTGGTTTCAATAACTCCTCCAGCTCGCTGGGGGTTTTTCTGGTGCTGCTTTTGACACATCGGGGAAAATTTCAAGCCTTAAAGAAAAAGAAAACAACTGAGCCAAGCCCAGCTCACTTGACTCAGGGAGAAGTCACCAGATGGGAGATTTGAATTCCCAATTCCCACCAATTCCTGGCCCCTCTGGACACGTCCCCTCCTGGCTTCCCTCTACCCCCTCACATCCATCGCCCCCCAGGAGGATTTTGGGGGGTTTTTGGGGGAATCTCCTCCCAAGAGGATTTTGGGGGGTTTTTGGGGGAATCTCCTCCCAGGGAACAAGGGGCAGGACAGCAGGAAACAGTCTCGAGTGGTGCCACCAAGGGTTTAGGTTGGACGTTGGGAAAATTCCTCGTGGGCAGGACCCTCCAGCCCAGGGCAGGGGTGGGGTCCCCATTCCTGGGGGGTTTCAAAGTGGAGGTGGCACTTGGGGACATGGTCAGGGTGGCCTTGGCAGTGCTGGGGAAGCATTTGGTGCTCTCAGAGGGTTTTGTTTTGCTTTGTTTTGAGATTTTCTTTCCAAGCTCCTTTTCTTTGTTCCGGAGGACAAAAATAATCCCCGTTTCATCCCACATGAAGGGAAAAAAAAAAAACCAACAAAAAGAAGAGGATAACGCTGATAAATGGGGAAGATGAAAGGGAGCTGGGAACAGCCGCTGCCCCTGCAGGCCGGGAAGCGCCTTGAGACCCGCAGGTTTTTCCAGTTACGGCGGCCCCGAGTGGAAACAGCTGCGGGGCGGCCAAAACCGCGCAGCATCCCCGCCCGTGTGGTTGCCGCGGCAACCGCGGGGAATTTGGGGCGCCGGGATCGGGCCGGGAAGGGGAACCCGCGGGGCTTTGATCCCGGCTGATGGATGGAGGCCCCGCCATCCTTTCCCCAGCACGGTGACCTCGCGCTCCTGGAAGGCGCCGGGATCTGTCAGAACACGGAGCTGGAGGTGGAACAGGGGGCCAGGGGGGTCCCGGGGGGTGCTGGGAGCGATCCCAGAGTTTTCCTGTGGGATGGGGTCGGGATGAGCCACGGGAGGGACCCCACAGGTGCTGCCCCCCATGCCTGGGCTGGGCCCATCCTGTTCCACTTAATTCCGACACGTGAAAGTTTCTTCTCCCTTTTCTCCCCCATCTGCTCCCATCTGGCCATCAAAGCAGCCAGGAACTGTCCTGAGCTCTCCCAGCACGGAGCTGGGAATGTTGGGAATGTTGGAAATGCTGGGATGAGCCCCTCTGAGCCCTTCCTGACCTCCAGAGCTGCCCTTGGGTCGGCACCGACCCTGAATTCCTGCCATGGATCCCTCAGGATCCTGCTGAGGAGAAAAGGTCCCCATGAGCTTCCTCCATTTCCTCCAGGTCTCTCCTCCTGCTTTGTCCCCCCAGAGCTCCCCAGGGAGGAGTCCCCAGGGGCTGGGGATGGGGACAGGAAGGGACAAACAAGGATTCCTGGGAAATGGGAGCAAGGGGACTCTGCAGGCCAGGAAGGGAACGGGAAGGAGGGAGCGGGAGCTGCTGTCCTGCACCTCGGGAGCGAATCAAAACCCCTGGGAGTGTCCAAGGCCGGGCTGGGATCCTCCAGCATCCAACTCCTGGGCACCTCTGACTCCAGTTCCAGGCATCCAGAGGAGCATCCATGCTCTTTGTCTCCCCACTCTCTCCTGCACATGATCCCCAATCCCAATAAAAATCCCAATAAAAACCCCAACAAGGCCAGAAAATTAGATAATTTTTCCTCCCTCAATGCACTGAACCTGGTTCGCTTTAAAGGGAATTGGATTTGGGAAAATCTGTGTGGTTTGTGTGCAGAGAGCTGGGGCAGATCCAGAAAAAATCCCAAAAACTCCATCCCGCCCTCGGCCTGCCCCACGCTGAGCCACAGGATCCTCCGGTGGAGCATCAGCTCAGGAATTTGTGGGAATCAGCACCCGCTCAAGAATTTGTGGGAAAGAGGAGTCCAGGAGTGCCCTTAGCAACCAGACAAACATTTGTGGGGGTTCTGTTCCATCCTGGAGGGAAAAACCCTCTGGAAAAATCCAGGAATGGCGGTGTTGGGAGGGCAGGGGGTGAATTTGCCCCAGGGGTCCCTTCCCAGAAGATCTTCCCCATGGAGCAGACCCTGGATGCTGCTTCCACACAAACTCATCCCTCATGCTCCTGCTCACGGAAAACCTGACCGGAATTTGGGGTTGGGAACAGGGAGGGAGCAAAAATGGGAACAAAATTTGGGTTTTTTTTATCCCGGGGGCAACCAGAGCTGGGTCCCATCCAGGGGAAGAGGGAGACACTCTGGAGAACCTGCAGTAAATCCCAGTTTTCCTTGGGATGTTATCCAAGAGAAGCAGAGCCTGTGAGCGGGATGGGAATGTGGAAAGGAGGAATGGAGGGATGGAGGGATGGAGGGATGGGTGGATGGATGGGTGGATGGATGGATGGATGGATGGATGGATGGATGGATGGATGGATGGATGGATCCATGGAGGGATGGAACCACGTCCCAGAGGAACGCTGAATTATTTCTGTGGGAGCAGCTCTGAGATCCCTCAGAGCTGCCTCCGGTTCCTGCCTCTCTGCTGGGCCAAACTGGAGCCCAAAGGGGGCTCAGAAAAGCCCCTGGAGCTGCAAACCACGCCCGGAGCCACTTCCCATGGATGTCCCCAGCCCCTCAGACCGTCCAGGGTGGGGGTTCCTGGCAGGAGCAGGGAAAGGACCCCACTGTCCCTGAGCTCTCCCCATCCCAGAGCCGCCCCCACCCCCTCGCAGCCCCGCAGCACATCTGGGACACCCCTGGAGCCTTCAAAGCCGTGTCTGGGGAGAGACGAAAGGCCCGGCTCAACTCCTGGCCGGAGATGAAAGGAAAGCTCTCCCTCGGCGGCTGGAACGAGTTCGCGGTGCTCCGGAGCGGGGCTGCAGGGGCCCATTTCCTGCCCGCCTTTCCAGAGGGACTCCGCAGCACATTCCCGGGGTGGCCAAGCCCGAGAGGGCTCCGGGCTGCCCGAGGGGCTCCCGGGATGCTCCGTGGGCTGGGGGGTATGAGGGGCAGTGGGACGGGGAGGGAAAAGCTCCTCCAGGACCAGCCCGGGGCGGGGGAGCGGCTGCCGGGCGGATGCGAGCGACAGATTTTCCTCATTTCGTCCCAGGAAATTCTATTCCGATTAAAAGGCGTTTGATCTGCGCGGAGCGGGCGGGGGGAGGCCGGGCTGGGGTTGGGTTTCTCTGCCATTGTTGGGCTTTATGGGGGTTTGTGAAGCGGCTCAAAGCTCCCAGGATTTCGCGGCTGCAGGATGTGGAGTTGAATTTTGGGGTTTGTGAAAAGGTGGAGGAGGAAGGGATGGAGCCATGAGCGTCCCACGGCTCCTCCTCTGCCGGTTTTCCAAAGGGTTGATCCCTCTCCATCAGGGAAGGGGAATCCTGCAGCTCCTCACCCCCTCCATCACCAGGAATTAAAGGAATAGAAGGGTTCTTCCCAGGCTGCAGAAATGTCCCAGTGTCCTGGGGACTTGGGGGTTCTCAGGGGGACCACGGGGTCTTGTGGAATTTGGGAAGGAGTGAAGGGAAGCAGGGACCCTTCCTTGGGAAGTGGTTCCAGCCCAGCTCCAGGCTGGGAAGGAGCAGAGGGACCCCCAGAGGGGCCGGGACCCCATGATGACCCCTTTGCCTTGGCCCCTTTGGGCTCTCCACAAACCCCAAACCCCATCCTGAAGGCTCTTCCCAGCTATCCCAGCCTGGGGATTTTCAGCCTCCTCATTAAGCACTGGGCCCATATTGAATCGTTTTATCCCTTTGGTTGCTCTCCAAGCTGAGAATTGTCCTAAAAATAACCATTCCCAGTTCTGTGTGTGATGTTCCCCCCCCTTTTCCCAGCCCCTGGCTCCCTCCCAGCTCCCCCAGCTCCGGTGAGTTCATCCCGACACCAAAACTGCTCCGCTGGGGATCTTTAATCCCAGAGCTGCTCTCACCCAAAGCCCGGCTGGAGCACGAGGATTCCCTCGGCAGTGGCAGCAGACTGGGCTCGTGTCCGAGCGTCCGGCGCTCTCCCAGCTGGACACAGCCCTGGGAGCCAGGACACTCCTCTGGGATTCCTGGCTCCAGCCCCAAGCTCCTCCTCAGGGACTCTTCCAGATCCCCAGGATGCCGTGAGTGAGGTGGAATTTGGGGGATTTTCTGATTTTTCCCAGCTGGGGAACAAAGGGCAAATCCAGGCTGAGCCAGCGCCGTGTCCAGGGAGCAGGGACACCACGTGTGGTGACATCCCCGTGTCCTGGAAGGTTTGGGACACACTCCTGCCCGTGCCTGTGCACTTCACCCTTCTAGCTCCAATGCCCAGGGAATGCCACAGACTTCCAGGGGAAGGATTCCCTGGGAACAGCAACCTGCAGGTCCCTCTAGGTCTGTCCCCAAGCCCAGCCTGTCCCCAAGGCCAGCACCACCCTCTGGAAGGCCCAGGACCCCTCTGCTGCAGCCCCAGAGCCACTCTGGGGACACCCAGCCAGGATTGGTGTCCCTGCACACAAGGACAGTGTCCCCAGCACCTTCCTCCCCCCCAAAGCCACCTGGAGGGTCCCCAGCCCCACGAGGCTCATCCGGAGCCTTTGAGGCGCCGCTTCCGCCCTCGCCACATCTTGAGAGCAGATTGGGAAAATGCAAAAAACCTGTGCTTCCCCTCTGGGTGCCTTTGAATCCCTCCACGGGCAGGAAAAGTGGGACTGGAGCCCCTGCTGGACCTTGGGAGGTGCTGAGACCCCCCCAGTGGGAGCCACAAGGGCCCCCCATGACCCTAAATACCCCCCAAAATCCAGCAGAGGCTCCCCAGTTCCTGAAGATTCCTCAGGCAGCCCAGCACTAGGGAGTGAGGAATGCTGCAAAGGGAAAAATGGGCAATTCCATGAAAAATGGGGCTGGGAAAGGCTGGTGCAGGCAGAGAATGGGGTGGGGTGGCTGGGACTTTGTGGGGGCTGAGGGGAGAGAGGGGGTCAGGGCAAGGGGATGGGTTTGAGTCTCCTGGGAAGTTTTTGGAGCCACCAGGGCCTCTGTCCTCCCCTGTCCCAGTGCCAGGGGACGGGAATTCCAGCTGGGATCCTTCCCTCACCCCAGGGCTGGGTCCTTGTGGGGACTTGGGTCACCCCTGCAGGGCCACGCTGAGCTCCTTGGTGGCCCCCGGGCACAGGGATGTCGCTGTTTTGGGGATGTCCCCGGTTTTGGGGTGTCCCAGGTGGTTTTGGGGTGTCCCAGGTGGTTTTGGGGTCTCGTTCGCCCCCCCCAGCCCGGGCTGTGCCACTGCCGCCCTCTGGCGGCTCCTGCGGGCCCTGCACCCGGTGTCCCCAGGGTGTCCCCAATGTGTCCCCTCCCCTGGACCCCACTCCGTGGTCAGTGATGGGATTGGGATGGGACTGGGAATGGGAACTCACTCGGGGCTGGCCCCAAAGCCCCCCTGAAGCCCCCCTGCCCCTCACCCGTTTCCAAAGAAAAGGGATGGAATCATCAGCACTTCCCCAAAAATCCCTTTGGGATGAAATCCCCAAGTCCCAAGGGATTTGTGAGGGGAAAATCCACCTCAGACTCCCTGTGGATGAGGAAGTGAGGGGTTAAACACTCCCCATCACCCCAAAAGGGGCCATTCCCACCCATCCTTCCCAGGATCCCAGGGAACTCCAGTGCAGCCAGGCTGGTGAGGGAGGGCTGTATTTGTGGTGGCACACGGTGACAGCAAGGGTGGCACCGAGCCCGGCACCCCCGAGGTGCAAACCAGGAGGAATCCATGTAAAAATAGAGGGAATATTTACACACAGCATCCTTTAAAAAGCTGGGATGTGGGGTGGGAACTCCAGGGCTAGAACACGGCCCAGGGCTGGGTTTAGGGACTCCAGCACGTCACAGCCTCACCCCAAAGCTGCTCCTCAATCCCTGGGGCCACCTGAGCAGCCTCTGTCCCCTCCCCTCTCCTCCTGCTTCCACAAAAACATTTTCTCCTTACTTTTTTCCCCAGGAATCCTCTCCCTGAGGCTCAGGCAGGTCAAACCTTGGCCCTGTGCCCCTTTCCCCCCAAACACCTTTTCCCTACACCTGCTGCTGCAACTTCAAGCATTAAATACAGCATTTATGGTTAAACATGGGACCCCCATTCCTTTTGAAAACCAGCCTGGGGAGCAGCCAGGGGCAGCATTCCCATCCCTGGGACCTTTGGGAGGAGCTGAGCTCTGCCAGGAGCAGCATCCCCAGCCCTGGGAGCTTTGGGATGAGCTTTGGGATGAGCTTTGGGATGAGCTGAGCTCTGCCAGGAGCAGCATCCCCAGCCCTGGGAGCTTTGGGATGAGCTTTGGGATGAGCTGTGCTCTGCCAGGAGCAGCATTCCCAGCCCTGGGAGCTTTGGGATGAGCTGTGCTCTGCCAGGAGCAGCATCCCCAGCCCTGGGAGCTTTGGGATGAGCTTTGGGATGAGCTGAGCTCTGCCAGGAGCAGCATCCCCAGCCCTGGGAGCTTTGGGATGAGCTTTGCTCCTCTGCTGCCCCCAAACCCCAAAAGGGTTTCTGTTCTGTTCTGTTCTGTTGTGGACAGGCAGAACCTGGCTGGGAGCTCAGCTGGGCCCTTCCCACGGAGCAGAGAGGTGACACAGGAGCAGGGCAGTGACAAAGGTGGGGACCGCCACCCCTTTGACAGCACGCGGTGCACAGGGAGCCCTTCCCTTCCCCTCCCTTCCCTCCTCCCAGAACGAGCAGCGATGAGTGAGGAAAAGCCAGCAGGAAAAGCCCTCTGTTCTGTTGGGACAGACAGACAGACAGACTGACAGACAGACAGTGTCTGTGCCCACGCCTCTCACACCTTGCCCGGGCGCTCAGAAGTCGCTGAGGATGCTGATGTCGGCGAACTCGGCGCGGTACCGGTGCGAGTAGAGGCTGAGCAGCAGCGCCCACTTGAGCGCCATGAAGCTCCACACACAGGACAGGTAATAGCTCTTGGGGTCAGTCAGGGCTGTGGGGGCAGAAAAAGGGGATTTGGGGGGGATTCGGGGGGAATTCCAGCCCCTGGAAGCTCTGCACAACCCCGGTGCTCCCTGGAATTCCACTGGAATGGGATCATTTCTACGGCTCTGCCAGCCCCACCCCGAACTCGCCTGGTTTGGGGATGGGATTTGTGGGGATTCCTGGATTTGTGGGGATTCCTGGGATTTGTGGAGATTCCTGGATTTGTGGGGATTCCTGGGATTTGTGGGAATTCCTGGATTTGTGGGGATTTCTGGATCGTGGGGATTCCTGGATCGTGCGGGTTCTGGGATCTGTGGGAATTCCTGGATTTGTGGGGATTCCTGGGATTTGTGAGGATTCCTGGATTTGTGGGATATTCCCGGATTTGTTGGAATTCCTGGATTTGCTGGAATTCCTGGATTTGTTGGAATTCCTGGATTTTTAGGGATTCTTGGATTATGGGGGTTCTGGGATTTGCGGGAATTCCTGAATTTGTGGAAATTTCTGGATTTGTGAGGATTCCTGGATTTGTGGGGATTCCTGAACTTTTGGGCATTCCTGTATCGTGGGGCTCCCGCATCATGGGAATTCTTGGATCATGGGGGTACCTGGATCGTGGGAATCCCTAGATTTCCCTAAAAATTGTGGGGCCAAGACTTTCCCTAACACCCCCAATTTTCTCCCCAAACAGTTTTCCAAGAAAGGCGGGGATGGCAAACATTTGGTTTTCCTTCCAAATCTGTATTTTTAAGGATTCCACACGTGGATTTTCATCCCCTTGCAGCAGGAAAACTCCACGGGAAGTTTCTTTAGGCTGAGCCAAGGGAAGTTTTTGGGGTTGTGACCCCACACAGCTTCTCCACCCCTCCCAGGACAAACCCCGTGGGGCTTCTGAGCAAACAAACACAGAAAACCTCCAGTAAAACAACCCCCAAACGTTCTCCAAAGTCTGGGGCCAAGGAAATCACGGCAGGGATTTGGGGTCATTCCTTAGGGAACCCTCAGGGGTTTGGAGCTGGGAATGCTGAGTCAGGGCTTGGAGCTGCTCCAAGAGGGATGGACTCAACCTTTGTCATGGAAACTTGGAAATTCCCAGGTTTTTGGGGGGCTTTGTCCTGGAAACTTGGAAATTCCCAGGTTTTTTTTTTGAGGGGCTTTGTCATGGAAATGAGGAAATTCTCAGGTTTTTCTGGGGGCTTTATCATGGAAATGAGGCGATTCCAGGTTTTTTGGATGTCACAGCGAGGCAGGGAAATGCGGTGACATCCCTGCAGGCTGTCCCCAAAGGAGGAGGTGGCAGGAGCACCCCCAGGCCTCCCCAGTATTCCCAGTCCCTCCCAGTACTCACACTGGTGCTGGGTGATGGCCAGGGCCAGGAAGGCGCAGAAGCCCAGCCCGGAGAGGGCAGAGAAGAGGATCCCGACGGAGAGGAAGAACCTCAGCCCTTTTAACCAGGTCCTCCAGTAATCCTGCAGGTACATCACATGCGTGATTAGGGCCCAGAGCGCCAGCACACCTGTCCAGGTGACAGCAGGGACATCAGAATGGTACCTATGGACAGGTAAAACACAGCCCAACCCTCCCAGAGCACCTGGGAACAGCAGCACAGCTGTCCAGGTGACAGCAGGGACATCAGAATGGTACCTATGGACAGGTAAAACACAGCCCAACCCTCCCAGAACAGCTGGGAACAGCAGCACACCTGCCCAGGTGACAGCAGGGACATCAGAATGGTACCTATGGACAGGTAAAACACAGCCCAACCCTCCCAGAACAGCTGGGAACAGCAGCACACCTGCCCAGGTGACAGCAGGGACATCAGAACAGCTCCTCCTGCCCAACCCCTCCCTGCAGCTGCCAGGCCCTGCTGCCCCCCTGCCCACATCCCTGCTCAGGACAGGCTGGGTTCCCACCCTGGGAGCCCCATGGGACACCCCCTGACCAATCCCCCCGTGCTGGGGGTCCCCAGGCCAGCAGGAGGGATTTGGGAGCGGGCAGATCCCATGGCCAGAACTGCAGAGTCATCGCGCCCCAAACTGTGCCAGGGTCTGGTGACAGAGCTGAGGCCTCGAGTTCCCCAAAATCCGCCTCCCCCACTTCCTGCTGCCCCGGGTTCCAGCGCCTTTGAGGCACATTTCAGACAGAAATGGGGAACTTGGGGTTTGGAGTCAGCAAAAAGCTGCTCCCTGCTGAGCCTGCCCGGATGACGCAGCAGAACTGCCCTGAATGCTGAGTCAAGGTTTGCTGTTCCCACCCGACATCGACACCGACACCGACATCAACATCACTGCTGCTGCTGCTGCTGCCCCAGCTCCGGGGGGAGAGAGCACCAGAGCCCCTCGAGCTCCCCTGACCCCGACCCAAACCCTGACCCAAACCCTGATCCAAACCTGATCCAAACCCTGATCCAATTCTAATCCAAGCCATGAACCCAAACCTTCACCGAAACCCTGATCCAAACCTGATCCAAACACTGATCCAGTTCCAATCCAAACCCTGACCCAAACCTGATCTAAATCCTCACCCAAACACTGATCCAATTCCAAACCAAATCCCGACCCAATCCCTGACCCAAACCCTGATTCAATTCCAGTCCAAACCCTGACCCAAACTCTGATCCAAACCTGATCCCAACCCTAACCCAAGCCCCAATCTAAACCCTGACCCAAACCCCAACCCAAACCCCAACCCAAACCCCAACCCAAACCCCAATCCAAACCCTGATCCAAACCCAATCCAAACCCTGATCCAAACCCAATCCAAACCCTGATCCAAGCCCAATCCAAACCCTGATCCAAGCCCTGATCCAAGCCCAATCCAAGCCCTGATCCAAGCCCAATCCAAGCCCTGATCCAAGCCCAATCCAAACCCCGATCCAAGCCCTGATCCAAGCCCAATCCAGGCCCTGATCCAAGCCCAATCCAAACCCCAATCCAAGCCCACTCCAAGCCCTGGCCCAGCTCTCCAGAGGCAGCTCTGGGCCAAAGCACCACCTGAAGAACTGAGGGTTTGAAACCCTTTTGACTGGGAAATGAAATACAAGTTGTGGCTTCTGAAAGCTTGGGGTGTCTGCCTGCAGGAGCTGCAGGTTCAGAGCTCAGGGACTGCCCCAAATCCAGCCCTCCTGCCCTAAAGCTCCTTGTCCCTAAAGCCTGAGCCAGGGCACAAAACCCCAGAGCAGCAGCAGAGCCTGGACAGCTCCAGTCCCACCCAAACCCCTCCATAAAAACACAAATCCCCGCGGATTTACCCCAAACCCAGGGCCCTGGAGCAGGAGCTGCTCCATCAGACACAACCCAGGGATTTCCAGCAGGGAATGAGACCCAAATTATCCCAGGATTCAGAAAAAGGGAAAACAGCCCCAAGGAGAGAGGAGCTGGCAGGCACCAGGGCAAGATCAATTCCTGGGTAAAACACAAAAACCTCCCAGCACCCTTGGAAGGAGCTGAAATAAACCCCAGGAGTTCAAAGCAGGGCTGGGGAACGATTCTCCCCCACCAGAGCCAAATATTTGGATAAAATTTGGGCTGTTTGAGCTCAAGGGAAATGAATTTTCCCTCTCTGCAAACATCCAAACAAAAACTGGGACAAACACAAGGTTTTGTCAGCCTCCTGCTCCTCCTGGAGGGATTCCTCAATCCCAGAGGAGTTTTTTTGGGAATGTTCCACGTGTCACACATGGAAATCCTGGGGAAAACAACAAAACTGCAGCAGAGGCCAAAAAAAAAAAATCCTCAAAACAAACACAAAAATTTCAGATTTATTCCACAAGGAGCCCCCTGCCTCCAGCATTCCTGCGAGGAGCACCCTGATCCCTGCTCCAAACGTGTGGTGATGGCAAAGAAAATGAGGGTAAAAATGAAAAGTAACATTAAAAACCCCTGAAAATGGGGACCAATTCCAACAGTGGGGGTTTTTTTTCTGTATGTTTACAAAGCCTTGAGTCCTTTTCCAGCTAAACAATCCCCTTTTATCCACTCCAGCTGCAGCATCAGCTGGAAGGAGCTGAAATCCCCACTCCAACAGGAGCTGGAGCTTTGCCGAGTGAAATTTTGCCATTTCCACGTTTGCCAAACTTTTGCCTCTCCTGGGGGAACCCGGGAGCCTCAGCTGGGTTTGGAACAGGTCAAAAATGGGGGGGATTTCCCTGCCAAAACTGCTGGGGCTCCACGCTGAGATATTTTAGGAAAACAGCCCTGGGAGGAGAGGAACCTTTGGAATATTCTGGGGTTGTACCAGACCCCGTGCTCAGCTCCCATTCCTTCCATTTCTCAGGGTGTTTTTATGATTCTCCAAGAGCCTCCCAAGCCCCTGTGGGTGGGTGGAAATGGAATTAAGTCCCTGGGACATAAGGGGTTTCATTCCATTAACAACAGCCCCAGCATTGTTTTCCCTCCATGGCACTTCAGGCTCGGATCAAGTTTTGACTGTAAATAACAGAGAATTAGTGAAATTTAGGGCTAATTCCCAAGCAGGAAAGGTTCTCTGGGAGATAAGGGAAATATCAACAAAGTGATTGCAGAGACAAAGCTGGAGATCCGTCAGAACCAGGAGGAATTCTCCCAGCCAGGAAGCCTGTGGATAAACATCCTCAAACACAGATCCAAAGGCACAGCAGAGGCATTAAAAAATGAGATAAACATGGACCAACAGGCAGAGCCTGGCTTAATCAGGGCACTTTGAGGAGGACCTGCAAATTCCGCTGTCAAAATTCCACTCTCAAAATTCCACTGTCAAAATTCCTCCCTGAGCAAAAACACAGCAGAAAATACCTCCTTCATTTGCTCTTTCTCCTGCATTTCTGGTTCAAGATCCCCCCCCCAGTTTTGTGCCACCCAGCAAAGCAAAGTGTGGGAATTCTCTGCTGAATCCCAGCTCCAGCTGGAATTAAAAGCTTTTTTTTTCTTTTTCTTTTTTTTCTATTTTTTTTCTTTTGAGGGAGAGGAAGCAGAGACAAGCCCAGCCATGCACCTCGCCCCTGGATCCTTTCTAAATTTTAACTTCACTTTCTACTGTTCGTCTGGCAGGAATTCAGCCAGGGAAGCCCTGGAGCTGCAGGACTCTGTCCTGCTCCACCCCAGTCATTAACCCAGAGCCACAAACCCCCCAAACCTCCCAGATTTCTGGGCACATCAGGTGCAGTTTCACCCCCTGAAACCCAAACCGCTCTTCCCGAGGGTCTGCTTCCAGCATTTGGGGAAATCGGGAGGATTTCTTTGCTTCCCTGAAAACTTCAGCCCCAAGGAAGGGGCTCCTCGGCCCCACTGGTGTCCTGACACCCCCTCAAATGTCCCCTCAGCCCTGAGATCCCCCCTCAAACCCTCAAACCTCCCCTCAGCCATGGGGAAGGGGCTCCTTGGCCCCACCATGGCCCTCACAGCCCCCTCAGTCATGGAGAATGGGCTCCTCCTCACTCCCCCTCAGCCCTCAGACCCCTCACGGCTGAGGAAGGGGCTCCTCTCACCCCTCACAGACCCCTCATGGGCTCCTCACATCCCTCATTCCCCTCATGGGCTCCTCACATCCTTCACTCCCCTCATGGCTGAGAAATGGGCTCCTCACATCCCTCACTCCCCTCATGGCTGAGGAAGGGGCTCCTCACTCCCCTCACAGCCCCCTCAGCCACGGGGAAGGGGCTCCTCACATCCTCTCAGTCCTCACAGTCCCCTCATGGCTCCTCGGCCCCACGGCCGCCCTGACCCGGTCCCTCCCTCACGCCGATCCCGCTCAGCCCTCCCGGCCCGGCCCGGTGCCCGCTCGTCCCCCGGGGCCGTACCCCAGAGCCCTCCCGGCCCGGTGCCCGCTCGTCCCCCGGGGCCGTACCCCAGAGCCCTCCCGGCTCGGTGCCCCCTCGTCCCCCCGGGGCCGTACCCCAGAGCCCTCCCGGCCCGGTGCCCGGTGCCCCCTCGTCCCCCGGTGCCGTACCCGAGAGCCCGCCGGCCGCAGCCGTGCCGGGCTGGCGCAGCGCGGGCACCACGCTCCAGGCGCAGAAGGCCGAGAGGCCGCTCAGGGCGCCGAAGGACGCGTAGGCGACACGGAGCGCCAGGGCCCCGTTCAGCGCCATGGCGGCCTCGGCGCGGCCCGCCCACGGCACCGGGACACGCCCCGGGAACGGCGACGGCACCGGGACACGCCTCGGGACACGGCACCGGGACACGCCCCGGGACACGGGACTCGGGGACGGGACGCGGGAACTGGATCGGGACACGCCCCGGGAGGGGGGACAGGACACGGGACACGGCACGGGGACACGCCCCGGGACACGGGACTCAGGGACGGGATGCGGGAACGGGATCGGGACACGCCCCGGGAACGGGACAGTCCCTGGGACACGGTACCGAGACACGGCACCGTCCACCGGGACCTGGACACGCCCACAGACACCGGGACACGCCCACATTACCGGACATGCCCACATTACCGGGACACGCCCCCGCCCCGTCCCAGCGCGCCCCCTGGCGGGCGGGAGGACCGAGGAGGGGGCACGAAGGGACGCGGACACCGCGTGGGGGGACACGGGAGGGACCCGGGGGCGTGGGGACACCGCGGTCCCGCGGGACGCAGCTGGGGGACACGGGCGGCACCGGCAGGTGGGGAGCGTGTGGCGCTGGGGACAGCTCCGAGCGGCTTTCGCTTCCCCTCGGCCCATCCTGTGGGATTGCGGTCTGGGGACACCTCATCAAAATCCTCGAAGACTCTCTGGGGCTTTTCCGTTCCCTTTTCTGCCTTCCCCTTTTTATTTGTTTATTTTTTTAAACATTCTTCCCCTTTCTGAGCCCTTGGCTGAGTCCGGCTCTGCTTCATCCGCGGAGGCAGAAATTTCCAGTGAGGACTGGGGTGAAAATGGGATTTTCCCATCATTAATTAATTGTCCTGCGAGCGCCACGGGGACAGAAATTCGGCTTTTCCCGAATTTCCCGGTTCAGCCTCCCCCAAGAGGATCTTTGGGAGCGGGGAAGCTCGGCTGGGCTGCTCTAGGTGGCAGCAGCCTCCTTCCCTTTCCCGAGCCATTCCCCGCTCTTCATCCACCTCCCCACCCCTCCTCCTCCTCGTCCTCCATCTCCCTTCCCCCCTCTCCGTCCATCCCTGGGTGTCTCCCCCTGGAATTCGGGTTTGGGGGGTGTTGGACAGGGCTTGGAGCGCCCTGGGACGGGGGAATTGTCCCTGTCCTTGGAACGGGACAAGGTTCCTGTTGCTCCACCCAGCCCGCAGCTCCCACCCTGCTGAGGGACCCAAAACTCCACCCAGTTTGACCCAAAATTTCCCCCCAGTCTGACCCAAAATTCCCCCCCAGTCTGACCCAAAATTTCCCTCCAATTTGATCCAAAATTCCCCTCCATTTTTACCTAAAATTCCCCCCAACTTGACGCAAAATTGCCCCCCAATTTGACTTAAAATTCCACCCAGTTTGACCCAAAATTTCGCCCCAATTTGACCAAATATTCCCCTCCAACTGGACCCAAAACCCAGTGAAATCCCAAAACCCCAGTGACATCCCTAAAACTCAGCGACACCCCAAAACCCAGTGACACCCCAAAACCCCAATGACACCCCAAAATTCCAGTGACACCCCAAAAACCCCGTGAAATCCCAAAAACCCCGTGACACCCTAAGGCACAGTGACACCCCAAAACCCTGTGAAACCCCAAAACCCCCATGAAAACCCCAAAAACCCCATGAAAACCCCAAAACCCCGGCTGTCCTTGCCCAAGGACTTGCAGCTCCCGCCCCGCCGTGGGATTTTGAGCGTAAAAACCTCGAGAGCAGCGAAGCAAAAATTCCATTTCCTGCTGCGGCTGCAGGAATGCGGGAGCGGAACGAGCGGCGTCAGCAGCGCCAGGTGAGATCAGAGATCGGCTCCTCCTCGCCCCGTTCTCCCTCTCACGCCCAATTCCCCCCGGGAATTCGGGGCCGATTTTGTCATCCCGGCTCTGCTGACTCTGCCCGAGCCTTGGAGATGCTCTGGGCTGATTTTTGTGCAGGTGGGAAACGGCTCAGGGCTGAGGAGGGGCGAAGTCTGGGGTTGTTTTTTTGATTTTTTTGGGGTGCTTTTTTGTTCTTTTTTGGAGTTTTTTTGGGAGATTTTTTTTTGGTTTTTCGGGGTTTGTTTCAGGGTGGGTTTTTTGGTTTTCTTTTTTTTTTGTTTGTTTGGTTTTGGGTTTTTGGGTTTTTTTGTTGTTTTTTTTTATTTTTTGGTTCATTGGTTGATTGAGTTTTTGTGGGGTTCTTTTGGTTTTTTGGTTTGGTTTTTGTTTTTGTTTTTGTTTTTGTTTTCACTTTTTGACCCAAAATTGGCTTCCTCAGCACTGCCCACCTCGGGCACCTGGATTTTCCAAAGGTGGATGGGATGGAAATGAGGATGGGGAGAGGAGGAGAAGGAGGAGGAACCGCTCCAGGTGGGAACAGCGATGTTCCTGCTCCTCCACCCCATCCTGGCCCAGCAGTTCCCACCCTTTTTTTTCCCACTTTTTGACCCAAAATTTGCTCCCCAGCTCCTCGGCACTGCCCACCTCAGGCAGCAGCTCCAGGTGACACCGGGATTTTCCAAAGGTGGATGAGATGGAAATGAGGACAAGAAGAGGAGAAGGAGGAGGAACCGCTCCAGGTGGGAACAGCGATGTTCCTGCTCCTCCACCCCAGCCCAGCCCAGCCCAGCAGCTCCCACCCGTTTTCTTCATTTTTTGACCCAAAATTGGCTTTCTCAGCACTGCCCACCCCAGGCAGCAGCTCCGGGTGCCACCTGAGGTGACACCTGAGGTGCCACCCGGGTTGCCAGGGCTGTGGACCTTGGCCCCGCTCCCCAGCACCTGTGGCCGGGTTGCCCGGAGCTTTCCCGGTTATTGCTCCTGCCCGAGCCTCGGGAACAGCTGGGAAACAGCCGGATTTACCGGATGAGGGATCCTTCCTCCTCCTCCCTCCTCCTCCTCCTGCCGGGGCTGGAGCTGGGAACAAAAGGAGGAAAATCAGCCGGGATGGGGACAGCCCTGTTTGCTTCCCGACAGCTGGGAACAGCCCGGAGTTCTGTGCTCAGGGTTTGGCCTTGAGGCCGTTCTGTTTCGCCCCTTTTAAAGGAACATTTCAGCCATGGGAGGAACTGGGACTGAGACCCCAGAAATGCCAAAGGCCCAAAGGGGAAAGGAAGAGGGAAAAGTTGAGGAAATGGGGAGGTCCCAGCTCATCCTGGTGTCAAATCCCATCTTTGGGAAAACCAAAGCCCATCTTTGGGAAAACCAAATCCCATCTTTGGGAAAACCAAAGCCCATCTTTGGGAAAAAGAAACAAATCCCACCTTTGGGAAACAGAAACAAATCCCACCTTTGGGAAACAGAAACAAATCCCATCTTTGGGAAAAACAAATCCCATCTTTAAGAAAAACAAATCCCATCTTTGGGAAAAACAAATCCCATCTTTGGGAAACAGAAACAAATCCCATCTTTGGGAAAAACAAACAAATCCCACCTCTGGGGAAAACAAATCCCATCTTTGGGAAACAGAAACAAATCCCATATTTGGGAAAAAACAAATCCCACCTTTGGGAAACAGAAACAAATCCCATATTTGGGAAAAAGAAACAAATCCCACCTCTGGGGAAAACAAATCTCATCTTTGGGAAAAACAAATCCCACCTTTGGGAAAAGCAAATCCCACCTTTGGGAAAAGCATTGCTTTTCTTTCTCCTCTCTCTGGGTTACTGGGGGGACTCAGTGACCTTAGCGGGCTTTTCCAACCTGAACAATTCCACTTTTTCCACTTTTCCACAGTTTCCTGGCCACTCGGCTCTTGCTGGACTCAGATCTGAGGCATCTGCAGCTCCTCGGAGACGCAAATCTGGGAATTGTTTCAGGAAGGAGCCGAGCGGGCACGGAAAGACCGGGAGAACAAGACCCATCACGTTCCCCGGATGATAATGAGGGAATGAAATTAAACCACCTGGGAGACCAAAACTCTCCTTCCTTCCTCCCTTCCTTCCTTCCTCAGCAGCAGCTTCTCCTTCACAGCAGCAATTCCTGCCTGAGCTATCACCCGTGGACGATCCAGAAATGAATCACACCCAGAATTGGGGAACGCAGCTCAGATAATTCCTAAAGCTGTGGTTCCAACCCAATAAAACCCCGTGTAACAACAAGGGGTGTCCCATAATTTGTGTTAATTCCGGAATTGCTGCTAATTCCGGCCCAATTAGGAGATAAAACACGGCGCTGGAGCCGCTTATTAAATTACAAATCATCCCAGCTAAATCCGAGGATTATTTAACACCGAGGGTTTGGGGGAACTGCGCCGGAATAAGGATGTCAGGGGAGCAGGGGCGTTAATCAAAGTAATGAAAACATAAATTAGGGGAGGCTGGGCCAATAAACAGGAAATAAATAGGGTTGGAGGGAGAGAAATACATAAACCAGCAGCATTAAAGGATAAACCCGCGCTGTTTGGAGCGCTGTAAATTCCCAACCGTTTTCCCCAGGATTGGATTTTCAGGGCTGATTTGTGGCCGTGTCCCGGTGAACCGGGGAGATGATAAATATGGGAGATTTCCTGCACCCCCAGCTGCCAGCCAAACCTCCTGGGGACACCCAGAGCTCCCAGGTCCCTCCTGGAATTTCTGCCCTGCCCAGGGACAAGACCCGGCTGCTCATTCCCAGGAAATGGAGCCAAAACAGGGGACGGAATGAAAATATTGGGATTTAACTTGGATTTCATTCCGTTCTGCCTTTGGGGGGGCTGAAGGACAGGGAGCAAGGTCAGCTGGATCTGCAAACCCAGTTTAGGATTTGGGAGCGGGGTCAGATGGATCTGCAAACCACTTTAGGAATTGGGAGCGGGGTGAGCATTTGCTGCCCTGTGGATCTTTTTATCCCTTTAGGATTTGGGATTTGGGGAAGAGATTCGTGCCAGGAGGGTGGCGAGGCCAGGACCGCCCCAAAGCCAGCGGAGCTCGGCCGGGACCCGCCGTTAATTAACGATCGTCCAAGCGGAGCCGAAGGAGCGGGGTTAAAGGAGCGATAAGAGGCTGATAAGGCAGAGCTGGTGCGCAGGAGCGGCTGCTCCGGGCGATCCGGAGCCGGGCAGCCCCGGGGAACGGCCGGGACCGGTGACCCCGCACCCGCACCGGGCACGGCCGCGGCTCCCGAGGGCTCCCGAGCCCGGCAAGGGCAGCGCGGGCACTGGGAGGGGTGGGAGCGTCCCTGGAGGGGGATGAGGGACCAGGGACACCCCAGGGACACCTCGGGGATGCGGGAAATGAATTTGTGGAAAATTTGACGGGCCAAGAAACGTTTATATTATGTATTATAATGGTATAATACATATAATTATATCATATTTATATAATTCATACATATAATTTATATATCTCTATACATATAATTATACATTATTTTAAATTAAATAGGTTATATTTTACATATTAAAATTTAAAATAGATTATATTAATTATATTATATTAATTATATTATATTATATTATATTATATTATATTATATTATATTATATTTTGTATTATAATTAAGAAATAGTCGGCTTCTGATTGTGATAGCATGAATTATAACAACTGTACTGTCTCACCCTTCTCACAGGACTAAAAGTAGAAAAATGGGAGCCATTCCCAGGAATGAGGGGTGGGGGGACCCTCATTGCTGGGTCTGAAATGGGATTGGGAATGGGAATGGGAATGGGATGGAAAGGGTGGGATAGGATAGGGTGGGGTAAAATGGGATTGGGATGGGATGGGATGGGATTTGGATGAGATAGGATGGAATTGGAATGGGATGGAAAGGGTGGGATATGATAGGGTGGGATAACATGGAATATGACAGGATGGGATAGGATGGGATTGGGATAGGAATGGGATTGGATAGGGTGGGATAAAATGGGATAGGGACGACATTGGGATGGGAATGGGGTTGGAATGGGGTGGGATAAAATGGGATGGGGAACATTGGTATAGGAATGGGGTTGGAATGGGGTGCTGGAGCCTCATCCAGAGGAGGAGCCGCCCGCAGTCCCCCCGCGGGGCCGGGGCAGGTGCCTCTGCTCTCCTTGGGCTGCCGGGGTGGGGCTGCCCGGGCCCCAGGGGCCGCTGCCTTCCTCAGGCCTCTTCCTCCTTCCCTTAATGAGCTCTGATTTGCATGGGGGGACGTGTCTGTGCACGGCCGGGATGCCGGGCCCGGCCGAGGGGAGCCCGGCTGGGAGAGCCCTGGGAGCAGCTCCTGGGGAGGGGGAATCCAGCCCGGGGAGGTTCTGGTGCTCCCACAGCCTCCAGGAATCCCAGGAAAAGCGTCCTGGGCCTGCAGAGGCAGAGGGGGAGGAAGGTCAGGATCTGTCCCTGTCCCGCTGCTCAAGGATGTGCCCAAGGGAGGCCCCAGCTCAGAGGGACAGATTGGGGACCCCGGTGTGACCCCCAGGGCCGCTCGGGTGCCTGGGCAGGAGGGGGAGCAGGGCAGGCTCAAGGATCTTCCCCAAATTCCTCGAATCCAGCTGAGGATTCCCATCTCTGCTCTAGCTGGGGTGGGGGCCGATTTAAAGGCAGATTTGGATTTTAAAAATCGGGATTTATTTCTGAAGCTGAAATTTTTGGCAGAAACCCCTCTCCTTTTTGGCCAAAAACCCCAGTAAATGCTCTCCCAGAACCGCTGGGCCCCACCCCAGCTTTGCTCCAGCTGGGGGCTGGGGGCTGGGGGCCACGTCCCCAGTATGAACCATTCCCAGCATGAACATTCCCAGCATGAGCATTCCCAGTATGAACCAATTCCAGTGCAATCCATTCCCAGTATGAATTGTTCCCAGTATGAAACATTTCCAGTACAAACCATCCCCAGTGCAAACCGTTCTCAGTACGAACCATCCCCAGTACAATCCATTCCCAGTGCAAACCATTCCCAATGCAATCCATTCCCAGTATGAACCATCCCCAGTACAATCCATTCTCAGTGCAAACCATTCCCAGTATGAACCATTCCCAGTGCAATCCATTCCCAGTACAAACCATTCCCAGTACGAACCATTCCCAGTGCAAACCATTCCCAGTATGAACCATTCCCAGTACAATCCATTCCCAGTATGAACTGTTCCCAGTACGAACCATTCCCAGTACAAAGCCCCTCCCTCTTCCAGCCTCTCTGGGTCCCCCCACCAAGCAGGGCAGGGCAGGGCAGCCCCCCGTGACCCCCCCAAACCCCGGGGTTTGAGGTGCTCAGGGACTCCTGGAGACCCCCAAAACCCAGTCCCGAGGATCCCGGGGGTCCCGGGGGTCGGGGCTGTGCCTCCCCCATGGCCGAGGGCGGGTCCCGGGGGTCCCAGAGGGTCCCGGCTGTGCCTCCCCCATGGCCGAGGGCGGGTCCCGGGGGTCCCGGGGGTCCCAGAGGGTCCCGGCTGTGCCTCCCCCGTGGCCGAGGGCGGTTCCCGAGGGTCCCTTCCGCCGCGGGGTCCCGGTGCGGGGCCGTGGGAGCCGGGGAGGGGCCGCGGGCGGAGCTGCCGTGCCCGGGGCGGGCCCGGCGCGGCGGCGGCGGCGGCGGCGGAGCCGCTCCCGAGCCCGGCCCCGTCCCGAGGAGCCGCGGAGCAGCCCCGGGGCCGCGATGGCCTCGGCCCCCCCCGCCGCATGAAGGTGCGCGGGGCCGGGCCGGGGGCGGCGGCCGGGGGGGCGCGGAGGGGCGCGGGGCCGCGGCGAGCGGGGCTGGAGCCCCCCGGGGGTCCCGGAGCGGACGGAGCCCGGCTCTCGGGGCTGCTCAGGAGGATGCACTTGTTCCGGAGCTCCAGCTACGACGTGCGGCTGGAGGGGGCCGGGGGGAGCCTGCCCCGCATCCAGGGCATCCGCTGGGTGAGTGGGGCCGGGGGGAGCGCGTCCCCAAATCCGCTGGGTAAGGGGGGGAGCGTGTCCCCAAATCCCCTGGATAAAGGGGGGAGCGTGTCCCCAAATCCGCTGGGGGAGTGGGGCCGGGGGGAGCGTGTCCCCAAGTCTGCTCGATCAGCGGGGCCGGGGTCTCCCCAGCCCCGGGAATCCAGGAATGAGAGGAGGGGAGGGAGTCCAGGAGTGCAGGGAGCCAGGTGAGGGTGGAAGGAGCCAGGTGAGGGTGGAAGGAGCCAGGTGAGGGCACGGGGAGTGAAGCCAGGCGTGCGGGGAGCCGGGTGAGGGAGCAGGGAGTGAAGCCAGGCGTGCAGGTGAGGGCACGAGGAGCCAGGTGAGGGTACCGGGAGTGAACCCAGGCGTGCAGGGGGCCAGGTGAGGGCACAAGGGGCAGGTGAGGCTGCAGGTGAGGCTGCGCAGGCTGGGACGGGCGGAGCGGAGCGGAACGGGCGGCCAGGCGTGAAGCCAGCCCGGTGCCAGGTGCCCGGCGGCGCATCCCAGCAGGAAGGACACTCCAGGGGGACATTCCAGGGCGACATTCCCTGTGGGGACACTCCAGGGGGACACTCCAGGGGGACATTCCAGGGGGACATTCCCTGTGGGACATTCCGGGACACGCAGCGTTCCCCCGCCCGTTCCCGCTGCAGGGATTTGTCCCCTGGCATCGCGACCTCCCCGCCCGGCTCCGCGCTGGCCCCGGGAGCTGGGGGGAGCCCCCGGGGTCCCGGGCCCTGCTCTCGGCCCCTCCTTGTCCCCTCCAGGCAGGGAGGTGACCCTGGAGCCCTGGCAGAGCTTCCGGAGCTTTGCGTCCCTTCCCCTTCCCTCACTGCTTGGCCTGGGACACTTTTCAAGAAAAAAGTGGAATTATTTTAGGGGGCAAACTGCCCTTTGGGCATTTCCACAGAGCACAGGGGCTCCCTCCCAGAAAAGTTTTCCTCGCTTTTTCCCTTTCTTCCTGATTTATTTTTCTCCCCAAAACTTTTACGAGCAGACTTTGGGGAGGGCTTTGGAGGGGCGCTAAGCCTGGGGAGCCCGGCAAGCAGCAGGCCTGGAGCACTCCTGGGTTAAACTGGGATCAGTCCCACCAGCCCTGCAGGCAGTGGCACCTGTGGCACGGCAGGAGTGTCCCCTCTGTGGGTGACACCTGGGGATTGAGGGCACTGGAGCTGCTACCAGCAGGGAAAGGGGGATTTTGTCCCAGTACAGCCACTCCTGGGGCAGGTGAGGGGCAGGGAAGCGCCTCAGGGGCCACACAGGTCCCCCGTCCCCATTGCTGGAAGCTCCTGGAAACTCCTCCCGGTGTCCCAGCTCCATCTCATCCCCCTTGGGGACCTGATCCCAGCAAATCCCTCCCAGCTCCAAAGGACAGCGGTGTCCCCAAGCGGCTCTGTCCTACCCAGGGGACAAGTGCCACTGTGCCAGTGACAAGTGCCACTGTGCCAGCCCCCGCCATGTCCCTGGGGAGGACAGCAGAGCCGGAGCAGGTCCCTGAGCCCATCCCAGGGGGTGCTGAGCCTGTCCTGGAGGATGCCCAGCCCACCCTGGGGATGCCAACCCCATTCCAGGGGATGCCAACCCCATTCCAGGGGATGCCCAACCCCATCCCGGGAGTGCTGAGCCCATCCCAGTGATGCCCAACCCCATCCTGGGGGTGCCCAGCCCCATCCCAGGGCGTGCTGAGCCTGTCCTAGGGGTGCCCAGCCCCGTCCTAGGGGTGCCCAGCCCCGTCCCGAGGGTGCCCAGCCCCATCCCGAGGGTGCCCAGCCCCGTCCCGGGGGTGCTGAGCCCGTCCCGGGGGTGCCCAGCCCCATCCCGGAGGATGCAGTGCTGAGCCCCGGCCTGCGGAGGCTGCGGAGGCTGCGGATGGGCGAGGACTTTCTCCGGAGCCCTGAGGCCCGAAATAGCCGCGCTTGTTTTCCTCGGGATCCCAAACAAAAGCGGCCGCGAGCGCGGAACGGCCGCTGGCGGCCTTGGCCGGGCGCCCGGCGCTGCCGGAATCCTGGAGAAAGGCAGGATCCCGGCGTGTCCCGTGGGCAGGAAGATGGAAAAGGCAACTCCTTAGGAAGCTGCTTGGAGCCGCGCCGTCACGAGGAGGGGGCCGGGGGCGTCCTGCAGGTCCTGACCCGGGGCGGATGCTCCAAGGAGGGGGTTGGGGACAGCGGGGGGGTTTGGGTGATTCCAGAGCTGTCCTGGCAGTGAGGAATCCCAGGAAGGAGGAATCTGATCCTTGAGCGGGGTTTTTGTGTCTCTTTCGGTGTCCTTGGAGCACAGGCTGGCTCTGGGCCCCAAGGACAGAGGGGGCTCTGTGCCAGGGGACAGCAGAGGCCCTTTGGGGACCTGGGCAGGGGGACACACAGGGTGTCACCTGCACCCATGGGGTGGCACAAACCTGCTGCACCCAGGAGGTGGCAGGGACCTCCTGCACCCACAGAGGTGACAGGGACATCCTGCACCCACAGAGGTGACAGGGCCATTCTGCACCCAGGAGGTGGCAGGGACATCCTGCACCCATGGGTGACAGGGACCTCCTGCACCCACAGAGGTGACAGGGCCATTCTGCACCCATGGGGTGACACAGATCTCCTGCTCCCACGGGTGACAGGGACCTCCGGCTCCCACGGGTGGCACCTCCATGTCCCCAGAGCAGCCCCGTGTCCCCAGCTCCTCCCGGCTCCCGTTTGCAAACATTTGCTCGGAGCGGTTCCCGCTCCCCGCGGCCGTCACGGGGCTCGGCAGAGTTTGCAGAGCGCCTGAGTCACCGTGTCCCTGCCTTGGGGACACTGTGGCCGCCTCAGGAGCGGTGTCCCAGCCTGGGTGACGCTGTGGCCAGGTGACACACATCCCTGCAGCGTTCCCAGAGCCGCTCGTGGCTCCTCCAATCCCTCCTGAGCCGTTGCAAAGTGCTGGGAGCAGGCGGAGGCTCGGCCTGAGGATCCTGCACTAATTAACTCCTGCGCTAATTAACTCCTGCCCTCCTCAACTGGAAATCCATCCGGACCGTCCCCCTGCCCTGGGATTGCCCCAACCTCCCCACCCAGACCCCGGCAGGATCCCTGCAGACGCCGCTTTTGGCATCCCCACAGCCGGAGAGGGGACCCCGGAATCCCCCTGGGGGTGCCCCCCGTGCGGGTGGGCGACCCTCGGAGGGCGCCCCGGGCCGGGTGAGCGCTCCCGGTGCCGGGAGCTGAACTGGTCTGACGGGTGCGGGCCGGGCTTGTTTATCCAGGGCCGTGGCCAGGAGGGGCCCGGGAGCCTCGGTCCCCGCGGGCAGCGCCGCCACCGGAGCTCGGCCACCTTTGCCCCGCGATCCGGGCGGGGCCGCGGGACAGGCGCTCGTCCCTCCCTGCGTGCGTTTTACCTGGAGCATCCCCGAGGGGGAGAGCTGGGAGAAAAATGAGCTGGAGAGGGGCACTGGAGTCAGGAAATGGGTCCTGGATTCAGGAAATTGGGGCTGGGTTCAGCATCTGGGTGCTGGGTTCAGGATTTGGGTTCAGGATTCAGGAAAATGGTGCTAGGGTCAAGAATTAAGCACTGGGTTCAGGATTTGGGTTCTGGGTTCAGGATTTGGGCTCTGGATTCAGGATCTGGGTGCTGGGTTCAGGATTTGGGTGCTGAATTCAGGATTTAGGTGCTGGATTCAGGATTTGGGTTCTGGGTTCAGGATTTTGGTGCTGCGTTCAGGGTCTAGGTTCTGGGTTCAGGATTTGGGTTCTGGGTTCATGATTTGGGTTCTGGGTTCAGGATTTGGGCTCTGGGTTCAGGATCTGGGTGCTGGGTTCAGGATTTAGGTGCTGGATTCAGGGTCTAGGTCCTGGGTTCAGGATTTGGGTGCTGCCCCCTCCCCTGGTGAAGAGCCGGGGCTGCTCTGGGGGTGCCAGGACCCCTGCCCCAGCTGTGTGGGGTGATGGGGGCACAGCAGAGCCCCCCCTCCAACCCCCTCCCCTTTGGTTTTCCAGACCCCGCTCCTGGACTCGGAATCCAGCCTGGACTATGGCCACAGCATCACCCAGGTGGGGGGGCCGGGCAAGCCCCCGGGGAGGTGAATTTGGGGAGGCTGGGGGGGGGTGGGGGGGCGAGGGCTGGGGCACCCCCACACCCCTGAGCCCTGGGGATGCTCCTTGGGCTGGGCCATTCCCAGGGTGGGTGGTGGCGATCCCAGGGCACTGAGGGGACAGGGGACAGCCCAGACCAACCCCCCCAGGAGCTCCCTTGTCCCCCTCCCACCCTCAGGCATCCTCGGAGAAGATCTGGAGGGCAGGCAAGCTCCTCTTCGCCCACCTGAGCAGCTCCCAGCCCAGCCTCATCCGCGACCACAAGCACCACCTGCGGCACCACCGGTGGGCTGGGGGGACCCTGGGGGGCTCCGGGGGGGCTGTCCCAGGGGGTTCTCACCCCCTGTGCCCCCCCCAGGCAGTGCTGCTCGGGGAAGGACTTGGTGGATTGGCTGCTGAGCGCCGGCGCGGCCGTGCAGACGCGCGGCCAGGCCGTGGGCATCGGGCAGGTGCTGGTGGACAGCGGGGTCCTGACACACGGTGAGGGATTCAGGGGGGCTCAGGGGGGCTCAGGGGGGCACAGAGCCCAGCTGACGGCCGCTGTACCCTGCAGTGAGGCAGGAGTGGCACTTCCAGGACAAGGACACGCAGTTTTACCGCTTTGCCGAGCTGGAGCTGAGCCCCGAGCCCGGCGCGGGGCCGCGGGACCCCGAGGAGCTGCTGGAGGCTCTGGGGTTCCTGGCACAGCTGGGCCCTGACGCGCTGCTCTCCATGGCCCTGCGCAAGCCGTGAGTGCCCCAGGGGCTCCTTTGCACCTTCTGAGCCCTTTTTGGACCCTGCCTGGGGGCTCTGGAGCAGCCACGGGGCTGCTGAGGGTGGGGGGACCCAACAACGTCACTCAAAGCGGGGAAGGGGCTGGGGAGGGGGGCACAGGGAGCCACTGACCCCCCGGCCCCCCCAGGCCTGCCCAGCGCACTCAGGACGAGCTGGAGCTGATCTTTGAGGAGCTGCTCCACATCAAAGCCGTGGCTCATCTCTCCAACTCGGTGAGTGTCCCCAAACCCTGCGGGGTCGGGGTGTCCCCTGGGCCCCAAACCCTCCTGAACCCCATCAGCTCCAGTCCAGGCATCCTCCCCTGCTCCCCAAATCCTTTCCTTCCTATTTAAGCATCTCCTCTGATAATTTCTGTGCCTCCCTCGGCCCTTCCCCGCCATTTCCCATCCCCGTGTCCCCTGCTGGCCCGGCCGGGGGTGACAGTGCTGTCCCCTGTGCAGGTGAAGCGGGAGCTGGCGGCCGTGCTGATGTTTGAGGGGCACCAGCGTGCAGGCACCGTCCGTGAGTCACCCTGGGTCCCCCGTGAGCCACACTGGGGTGTCCCCAGCCTGGGGACACTGGAGCCATTCCCAAAATTGTGAATTTTCCCCCCTTTTCCCGGGCGCTGTCCCAGTGTTCAGCCAAGGTGACAAAGGCACCTCCTGGTACATCATCTGGAAGGGCTCGGTCAACGTGGTCACCCACGGCAAGGTGGGTTTGTCTCTGTGCTGGAGGGACACTCTGGGGACACCCCAATGTCACCATCCCTCATCCCCAGGGCTTGGTGGCCACCCTGCACGAGGGGGACACTCTGGGGACACCTCAGTGTCACTGTCCCTCACCCTCCATGATGTCCCCAGGGCTTGGTGGCCACCCTGCACTGCAAAGGACACTCTGGGGACACTCTGGGGACACCTCAGTGTTGCTGTCCCTCACCCCCTGTGCTGTCCCCAGGGCTTGGTGGCCACCCTGCACGAGGGGGATGATTTTGGGCAGCTGGCGCTGGTGAACGACGCCCCACGGGCGGCCACCATCCTCCTGCGCGAGGACAATTGTCACTTCCTGCGCGTGGACAAGCAGGACTTCAACCGCATCCTCAAGGTGGGCCCTGGGGTGGGGGGGATTTTGGGGGCGATTTTGGGGTGAATTTTGGGGAATCCCGGCCGGGCTGACGGCGGGATCACCCCCAGGACGTGGAGGCCAACACGGTGCGGCTGAAGGAGCACGGCAAGGTGGTGCTGGTGCTGCAGAAGGACCTGCAGGGGGGCAGCGGCCAGGCGGCCTCGGCACGGAGCAGCAGGTGACACTCCTGTGCCCCTGGTGGCAGGTGACACCCCTGTCCCTGTCCCCCTTTGGCAGGTGACACCCCTGTCCCTATCCCCCTCATGGCAGGTGACACCTCTGTCCCCCTCATGGCAGGTGACACCCTTGTCCCCTGAGCCACCCCTCTGCCCTTTCCAGCCTCTCTCAGAGCAGTTTTTGGGAGGAACAAGGGGACAAGGAGCCTGTGCTGTCACCAGCCCGTGCTGCCACCAGCCCGTGGTGGCCCTGCCCGCGGCCACGGTGTCACCTCCGTCCCTCCTGTCCCCAGCAGGTACCTGGTGATGGCTGGGACACCTGAGAAGATCCTGGAGCACCTGCTGGAGTTCATGAGGCTCGATGCCACCCTCTACGACCCCGTGGGTAGGTGGGGGTGTCCCCATGTGCTGGGGACTGTCCCAAAGCCACCCAGACAGGCGGAGGGAGCGGCACCAAGGGGGCTCCTCATTCCCAGTGTCCAACCCCAAATCCCGCTCGTGCCACCTGGGCTCGCTAAAAACCCCAAAAGCCAAGGCCGGGAGAGGGCGGCGGCTCTGGGCGGGGAGCGGCTCCTGGGCGCCTCTCGGTCTCCCTCTGCCTTCAGAGAGGGGAAACCCGGGTGAGCCGGGAGCCAGGAGGTGTCCCCAGCGGGTCACAGATGCCAGGAGGTGTCCCCAGCGGGTCATGAATGCCAGGAGGTGTCCCCAGCAGGTCACAGATGCCAGGAGGTGTCCCCAGCAGGTCACAAATGCCAGGAGGTGTCCCCAGCGGGTCACAAATCCCAGCTGGGGACAAGGCGCTGCCTTGGGGCCGATCCTGGGGATTTGTGATCCCACCCCAACAATCCAGCCCCTCCCGCAGGCTTTAGGAACAAAATCTGCCCTGCCACCAGCGGGGTCCCCATGGTGGGGACACCCCAGGCCACCCCAGGCAGGGCACAGGGGTTCCTTGGCCAGGTCGCCATGGTTGGGACACCCCAGGCAGGGCACAGGGGTTCCTTGGCCAGGTTGCCATGGTTGGGACACCCCAGGCAGGGCACAGGGGATCCTTGGCCAGGTACCCATGGTTGGGACACCCCAGGCAGGGCACAGGGGATCCTTGGCCAGGTCCCCGTGGTGGGGACACCCCAGGCAGGGCATGGCGGATCCTTGGCCAGTTCCCTGTGTCCCCACAGTGCTGGGGACAGCAGTGACAGTGCCCTGTCCCTCACAGACACGCTGCTGGGGGATTTCCTGCTCACCTACACCGTGTTCATGCCGACCTCGCAGCTCTGCCGGGCCCTGCTGCACCAGTATCCTTCTGTGCAGGAGCTGGGGGGGACTGGGCTCTGCCCCGTCCCTGTCACCTCGGGGGGAGCCCCAAATCCCCTTCCAGTGCCCTTGGGCACATCCCCATCTGCTGGGGTGCCATCCCTGGGGGTCCCCGCCCCTCTCCACGTTTTACCGGTGCCCTTGACTGGTCCCAGTTTCCGCGCGGAGCCGCTGGAGGGCTCGGAGCAGGACAAGGCCTCCTATTCCCTGCGGAAACGGCGCAAAATCCTGCGGCTCGTCAGCCAGTGGGTGCTGCTCTACGGGCGGCTGCTGCAGGGCGACCGCAGCACCATGGCACTGCTGCAGGTACGGCCGGGGTGGCACCGCCAGGGTGGCACGGTGACACCGCCAGGGTGGCACGGTGACACCGCCAGGGTGACACGGTGACACTGCCAGGGTGGCACGGTGACACTGCCAGGGTGGCACGGTGACACCGCCAGGGTGACACGGTGACACTGCAGGGACCACCCCGTGCTCAGCCCGGGCCCCCTGTCCCTGCAGAACCTGGCGGACCTGGCGAGCCAGGACCCTCAGCTGGGCGGGCTGTGCCAGGAGCAGGGCCAGGAGCGGCGGCGACCCCGAGCGTGAGTCCCCCCAGTGTCCCCCAGTGTCCCCCAGTGTCCCCTGATGTCCCCCAATCATGGGTGCCCAGGGGGCTGCGCTTCCCGGGGGACGAGATTTTGGGTGCTACCGTGTCCCTGGTGTGGGGGTTCCTGGCTGTGGGGAGGGTGGCACACGCACCTGGGTGGGCTGGGGGACTCGGAGGTCACCGGAGGGTGGCCCAGGGTGGCCACAGTCCCTTTGGGTGGCCGCAGTCCCTGGGGTGGCCGCAGTCCCTTTGGGTGGCCGCAGTCCCCTTGGGTGGCCGCAGTCCCTTTGGGTGGCCGCAGTCCCTTTGGGTGGCCACAGTCCCCAGAGGTGGCCGCAGTCCCTTTGGGTGGCTGGTCCCAGTTCTGTTCCCACCAGGAATGGCATCTCCATCCTCCCCCTTCCCTTCCCACAGGCTGGAGAATGGTGATGGCAGCGTGTCCCCCCAGCCCAAGGTAGGGACCCCCTGAGGGGTGACAGGGCAGGATCTGGGTCCCCTCTGCCCTTTGGGGACACATCACGGGAGGGGTGGTGGCTGTGGCCGTGTCCTCCTGTCTGTCCCACCTTCCCCAGGCGCGGAGCTCGGGAATGTGGCTCGGGAGCCCTGAGGAGGCGATCCTGGAGAGCACCTGCGCCCTGCGAGCGCAGGACAAAGGTAGTGCCCCCTCAGCGGGACTGTCCCCCGCAGCACGGGGACCCTGAGGTCCCTTTTGTCCCTTTGACGTCCCTTTTGTCCCCCCCCAGTGCCCTACGAGATCTTCAGGGCCGACCACTCGTGCCTGGTGTCGGTGCTGCCCGTCAACGCCGCCGTGCGGGACGTGCTGCGGGCGCTGGCGCCGCGGCTGCGCCAGGACCGGGAGCACGTCCTGGTCAAGGTGAACTCGGCCGGAGGTGAGGGGACTCCCCCGGGGTGGCCTTGTCCCCGTGCCCGGCCGGGGTCTGTCCCCTCGTCCGTGCCAGCCCGCCCTTCCCTCCGCGCAGAGCGAGCAGTGCTGCCGCAGGACGCCGTGGGGGTGTTCACGGCGCTGGGCCTCAACGAGAGGCTCTTTGTGGTCAGCAGGGATGAGCTGGGCAGCCTGGTGAGTGCGGGGGGGGTCTGGGGTGGGCAGCCCCGGGGGGACCCCCCAGGAGGGGTTGGGGACTGCAGTGCCTCGGTTTGGGGCACCCGTCCCTCCCGGGGGCAGGAGGGGTCAGGGGTCCTGTCCTGTGCCCAGACCCCCCACCCTGAGCAGCTGGGCCCCCACGCCGGTGCCTCGGACACCCTGGACCTGATCAGCTCCAAGGACCTGGCCAGCCACCTCACCGACTACGACTGGAACCTCTTCAAGAGCATCCACCAGGTGTGGCCCACGCGGGGAGCGACTGGGAGGGGGGTCAGGACATCCCTCACCTGCTGGGGAAGGGGCTTGGGACACCCCTCACCTGCCAGGAAAGGGGGTTCAGGACACCCCTCACCTGCCAGGAAAGGGGGTTCAGGACACCCCTCACCTGCCAGGAAAGGGGGTTCAGGACACCCCTCACCTGCCAGGAAAGGGGGCCAGGACACCCCTCACCTGCCAGGAAAGGGGGTTCAGGACACCCCTCACCTGCCAGGGAGGAGGTTTGGGACACCTCTCACCTGCTGGGAGGGGGCTTGGGACACCCCTTAGCTGCCAGGAAAGGGGGTTCAGGACACCCCTCACCTGCTAGGGAAGGCATTTGGGACACCCCTCACCTCCAGGAGGGGTCCAGGACACCCCTGACCTGCCTCTCTCCAGGTGGAGATGATTCACTACATCGTGGGGCCTCACAAGTTCCACGAGGTGGCCACGGCCAACCTGGCCCGGATGCTGCGGCGCTTCAACGAGCTGCAGTTCTGGGTGGCCACCGAGCTGTGCCTGTGCCCCGAGCTCGGGCGGCGCGCGCAGCTCCTGCGCAAGTTCATCAAACTGGCGGCACAGTGAGTCCCTGTCAGTGTCCCTGTCACCGTCCCCGTCCCCGTCCCCACGGCTGACCCGCTCCTGTCCCCGCCTGCAGCCTCAAGGAGCAGAAGAACCTGAATTCCTTCTTCGCGGTGATGTTTGGTGTGAGCAACACGGCCGTGACTCGCCTGGCCAAGACCTGGGAGGTGACAGAGCGGGGACAGCGAGGGGAGGGCCTGGGGGGTGGGACAACACCTGGGGAGGGACAGACAGGGGTCTGGAGTGAAGATGGGGGTCCAGAATGGGGATAGTGGCCCATAAGGGAGATGGGGGGGTCCAGAGAAAAGTTGGGGGCCCAGAATTGGGATGGGGGCCTGGAATGGACAACACCTGGGGAGGGACAGCCAGGGGTCTCTGGGGTGGGACAGGGCTGTGCCAGCCTCTGATCCTGTCCCTGCACAGAGGCTGCCCCACAAGATCCGGAAGCTGCATTCAGCCCTAGAGAGGATGCTGGTGAGTGCAGCCCCCTGCCCCATGTCCCCTTCCCTGCCCCATGTCCCCTTCCCTTTCCCATGTCCCCCTTCCCTTTCCCATGTCCCCTTCCCTGCCCCATGTCCCCCTTCCCAGCAGGGTTTGCCCCTGGAGCAATGGGGAGGGGGTGCCGCTGTCCCCCCCTGTCCCCCCCAGCCCCCGTGTCCCTGCCTGTCCCCAGGACCCCTCGTGGAACCACCGTGTCTATCGCCTGGCCGTGGCCAAGCTGAGCCCCCCCATCATCCCCTTCGTGCCCCTGCTGCTCAAAGGTGGGTGTCTGGTTTTGGGGACCCCCTGGGTGTGCCCAGCGCCCCCGGGGGCCCCGCTCTGACCCCCAAACCCCCCCAGACATGACCTTCATCCACGAGGGCAATCGCACCCTGGCCGAGAACCTCATCAACTTCGAGAAGATGGTGAGAGTGCATCTGGCAACCCCTCCGAGGGCCCTGCTGTGCCCTTGTGCCCTGGCAGGCAGAGCTCTGGCACTGCAACAGCCAGGGACGGTCACAGCCATGTTGGGGACAGAGATTTTGGGGATCCAGGTGGGGCCAGGTGGCAGCAGGTGACCTCTGTGCCTCGCCCACAGCACATGATGGCCAAGACCGTGCGAGTCCTGCAGCGCTGCCGGGGCCACGCGCACGGTGAGCGCTCCAGGGAGCTGGGGAGGGGGCCTGGAGGGTCCCCTAAACAGGGCTGGGGACCTGGGGATGGGCTGAGAGCCTGGGGACGGGCCTGAGCCCCCTCTCTCTGTCCCCCAGCACCGCTGTCCCCACTGCGGAGCCGCTCCCCGCACCGGCCCGAGGATGCCAAGGCCGTCAGGATCTCCACGTGTACGTCTGGAGCTCCTCAGTCTGACCCCAACCCTGCCCCGGGGGACCCCCAACCCTCTGCAGGGTCCCTGAGCTGGGGAGAGGGGATGGAGGTGGAGAGAGCCAGGGAGGGATCCATGGATGGATCTATGGAGGGATCCATGCAGAGATCCATGGATGGATCTATGGAGGGATCCATGGATGGATCTGTGGAGGCATCCATGAGCCAGCCCAGGGCAGTTTGGGGAGGGTTGGGGGTGACACAGGCGCTCTGTGGGGTGATCCTGCAGGGCTGGACAGACTCAGCAGGCTGTGCCAGGGGAGGGAGGGGACCCCAGCCTTGATCTCATCCTTCCCCACAGGCTCGGAGCAGTCCCTGAGCGTGAGGAACCCCGTGTCCACCTGGGCCTACCTGCAGCACCTGAGGGCCATCGACAGCCAGAAGGAGCTGCTGAGGCTCTCCCGGGAGCTGGAGCCCTGAGGGCAGCAGGGCTGGAGCGGGGACGGGGGCCTGGAGTGGGGATGGGGGCCTGGAACAGGGGATGGGGGCCCGAAATGGAGATGGGGGGTCCGGAGCAAGGATGGGGACCCAGAATGGGGATGGGGGCCTGGAACGGGGATGGGGGTCTGGAGTGAAGATGGGGGTCCAGACCAAGGATGGGGGCCAGAATGGGGATGGGGGCCCAGAGTGAGGATGGGGATCCAGAACCATGATGGGGACCCAGAGCAGGGATGGCAGTCCAGAGCAAGGAAGGGGGCCCAGAACAGTGATGGGGGTCCAGACCAAGGATGGGGGCCCAGAATGGGGATGGGGGCCTGGAGCAGGGATGAGGGTCTGGAGTGAAGATGGGGGTCCAGAATGGGGATAATGGCCCATAAGGGAGATGGGGGGGTCCAGAGAAAAGATGGGAGCCCAGAATTGGGATGGGGTCACAGAGTGAGGATGGGGGCCTGGAATGGGGATGGGGGCCTGGAATGGGGATCAGGGCCCGAAGCAAGGATGGGGGTCCAGAACTGTGATGGGGGCTCAGAGCAAGGATGGGGGCCCAGAATGGGGACGGGGACCTGGAATGGGGTTGGGGGCCCAGAGCAAGGACGGGGGCCTGGAATGGGAATGGGGGCCTGGAATGGGAATGAGGGCCTGGAATGGGGATGGGTCCCCAGAGCAAGGACGGGGGCCCGGCTGCCGACGGCGGGGCAGCCCCTGGCTCTGCTCCCAGTGGCCCCGGGCTGTGCTGGAGCCCCCCAGAGCTCGGCCCTGGACTCAGATCCGGCCCTGCTGAGCTGCGGGCAGGTGAGGCAGAGCAATAGAGGTATTTTTGTACTCATGGCTGTGCTCCCCGTTCTTCCCCGAGCCCGGGGTCACCCCCTGCACCTCCACCCCCGATGTGACCTTGGGGACGGCCCGGAGCTGCCCCAGGGGAGGTGACACAGCGCTGGCACCAGGAGGGGACAGGTCAGGAAATGACTGAGGGCTGAGGGAGAAGCCAAACCCGGCCCTTGTTGCACCAAACGCCGCTCCCGTGCCAGCTGGCACCGCCCGGGGCACAGCAGGGGCCGCTCCCTGCTCCGGGAGGGATCCCAGCACCACCCCAGCATCCTTGGGAGCTGTTTGGGGCTGGGTCTCACCTGCCCAGGTGGGGGGCACAGGGTCTGAGCCTCTCCTTGGGGGGACACCCTGTCCTGGGGCTGTGGCTGCTCCCAAATCATCAGGGTCGGGTGCCAGGTGAGCCCAGGGCTGCCCCAGGAGCCCCCCAAATGCTGCCCCTGCCTGGAACTGCCCCAGGCCAGGCCAGAGGGACCTGGACCACCAGGGCCAGCCAGGGTTGGCCACCCCTGTCCTGGTGAGGGGGTGGAGAAGTGTCCGGAGCAAATCCTGCAGGCTTTGGGATGAGGTTTCCCAGGAAAACACAGCAGGGAGTGAGGAAGAGGAGGCAGAGCCTGGTGGTGCCCCTGGGGTCCCTCCCAGCGCTGCTGGGGCTCCGTTATCCCCCTGAAAATTCCCTGCTCCAGGCTGGGAACATCTCCCATCGGGGTTGGCTGGGAAGGGAAGGGGCTGTGACCCCCCCCCCCCCCCCCCCCAGGCCTGAGCCCCCCAGGGCTGGGGAGGGTCCCTGGGGCAGCTCTGGGCTCACCCTGGGAGTGGGACCAGGCTGGGATGACCCCAAACCTCCCCGCGGGGCTGTGCAGGAGTTTTGGGCTTTTCTGGAGGCTCCAAGGAGGCTGATCCGTGCCGGGGGGGGTCACAACCTCCGGAGCTGAGCTAGGAGAGCACATTACTCCCAATTAACGCTGCTCCCAGTTCACACCAGTCCCCCGGAGCGCGAGCCCCAGTCCGGGACCCGGCTGTGCCCCCGGTTCTGGGGGAGGTGGGCAAAGCCCCCCCGGGACCGTCCCCCCACAGCCTCGGCCGCCCCCGGGGCTTGTGGAGCAAGCCCGGGATTCTGGATTTACCGGCCCTCCTCCCACTGCGGGCAGCCTGTAATTAGCCGCGCGCCTAATGAGTTGTGGGGAAGTTGGGGTGCAGCCCGCCCGTGGAGCCCTCGCTGCCATCACGCCCCTCCCTCCCTCCCCCCCGCGGGACCCACAAAAAGCCGAGAGCTCCGGGGAGCTGCGGCACTCCCGACCCGGTCCCGGCACTCCCGACCCAGCGTTCCCGACCCGATCCCGGCACTCCCGACCCGGTCCCGGCACTCCCGACCCGATCCCGGCGTTCCCGACCCGATCCCGGCCCTCCCGACCCGGTCCCGGCACTCCCGACCCGGTCCCGGCACTCCCGACCCGATCCCGACGTTCCCGACCTGATCCCGGCACTCCCGAGGGACGATGGAGCCCTGGATGCTCCTGCTGGGGGCAGGAATCGCCCTGGGCTGCGTGTCCGGCCGTGAGTAACCAGCCTGGGGGCAGCAGGGGATGGGCCGGGGGCGCTGCCCTCCACCAGCAGCTCAGCCCTGCTGGGAGAACTGGGATGGAGCCGCCGGGCTCCGCGGGGCATTTTCCACGCTGGAAATCCAGCCCGGGCTGGGGGTGGATCGTCCAACTCCCCTGGGCTGCAGCCTGGCCCACAGCAGGGTCTGTCTGAGCCTGCTTTGGTCCTGCAAAGCTCAAGGAGCCTTTTTCTGGTGCCTCCTTTCCGTTTATCCATGGAAAACCAGCTTGGGGTGTTTTCCAATCCCAATCCCGTATCCACCCTCCCCCTGTGGCCACTCAGGTGGCAAATGGAGCCCAGACCTGACTCCGAGGTGCCCAGGAGGGGCTCAGGGGGCTCTGGGTTTAAGGAGGAGCTCGGGGCCCCCAGGATTTGGCAGCCAGGATCCCACGGGGGTGAGGAGGGGCTGAGTTCTTGCACAAAGCCTGAACTGTGATCCCCTGGCGCTGAGGACGGGATTTCATCAGCCCCGACGCCGCCAGGAGCTCCTATCTGATGGCCCAGGAGAGGATGAGTCCCCCTGGGATGAGAGATGAGGAGTTTTGCAAGGCCAGCTCACAGGAGAGGCTCCAAACCTGCGTGGGGCTGGGAGCAGGAGTTTCCCAAACTCCTGAGCGAGTTCCCAAATTTCCTGTGTGAATCCATAGTTTCCAAACTCCTGAGTTCCCAAATTTCCCATGTGAGTTACCAAATTTCCTCTGTGAATCCTGAGTTTCCCAAACTCCTGAGCTCCCAAATTTCCTGAGTGAGTCCTGAGTTCCCAAACTCCTGGGTGAGTTCCCAAATTTCCTCTGAGTTCCCAGATTTCCCACGTGAGTCCTGAGTTCCCCAATTTCCTGTGTGAATCCTGAGTTTCCCAAACTCCTGAGCTCCCAAATTTCCTGTGTGAGTCTTGAGTTCCCAAACCCCTGTGTGAGTTCCCAAACTCCTCTCTGAGTTCCCAAATTTCCTCTGTGAGCTCCCACATTTCCCGAGTGCATCCTGAGTTCCCAAACTCCTGAGTGAGTTCTGAGTTCCCAAACTTCCCGTGGTGAGTCCGGAGCTGTTCCAGAGGGAAAACGCGCGGTGAGGGTGGCTGGGAAGCTCGGCTGCCTCGTGGTCAGTGCTGGCCACCTGCTGGACCTGTCTGCTGGCCCTGGAACCCTCCACCTCTCCTCGTGTGGGCAGTGGGAGATTTCCCCCGCTTGTCCCACAGGCAGGGCTCACCTGTGGGTTTGGAGACAGGAGCTGGGGCTTTGGGAAGCTCAGGCCGTCCACAGCTCTGTCCCAGGCTCGTTTGTCCTTCAGATGGTCCCTCCTGGAGCTGGGCTGGGTTTGGATTTGTGTTTTCCCGCAGGAACGAGGTCCTGAGTCAGGCCAGGGGCTCGAGGACGCGGCTCTGGCTGAGCTGACTCATCCCCGTGCCCGAAACCAAATTGGGAGCACTGGGAGAGCTCCGGCACCTCCCCAGTGCTCGGAGGATGGAGCTGGGCAGGGAATGACCCCCCCTTCCCTGAGAAAGAGAAAGATTTCTGTGCTTTGTGCACCAGAGGAAATCTGGGGGCAGGATCAGCCAAAAAATCTCCTCTGGCTGGACCAGCCAAAACCCCCGGGGTGGCTGAGTGCGGATGAGCCGTGTCCTTGTGTCCTTCTGTCCTTCTGTCCTTCTGTCCTTCTGTCCCAGGCCACCACCCCTGTGGCATTTCCAGCTCTCTCCACAGCCCCAAAAAGCTCCCAAGAGTTCCAACAGCCCCTCCTACCCCCCCACCAGGTATAGCTGAGGGCCCTGCCTCAATTTAGGGTTGATTTAGGGATTTAGGGTTGATTTAGGGATTTAGGGTCGTGTCTGAGTGAGGAGGAGGAGCCGTTCCCCTGCCCTGAGACCGCTCAGGTTCCCCATGGCGTTGGGGATTTAGGATCTGGGGATTGGGGATTTGGGATGATGCTGAGACCGCCCCTCCGAGGGCTGAGTCAGGGTCGGGGCCCTGCTGGGACACGCTCGAGCTGCTGTGACACGCTCGGGCTGCTGTGACAGCCCCGGGCCACACGGGACCGGCACCGGAACGGGCTCGGCTGTGACGGGGGAGCGTGGGCAGCTCCTGCCTTGCACAATCCCGCTGGGATTGCGGCTGGAAAAGGAGCGGGATGAGCAAACCGGGGGGGTTTGTCCCAGTGCTGCTCCGGGAATGGGGCTGGGGCTGGACTGGTCACACCGGGAGGGCCTGGGCAGCGCTGAGCACCCCATCCATGGGATGCCCCTGCCCTGGAAGTTCTCCCAGCTCTTCTCAGGGGCTTCGGGAGAACCTCGAGACCCTCTCTGCTAAAATAATCCTGTTTAAAGGATTTACAGGGGATGGGAAAACCAAGGCAAGGACACCACCAGGAGCTGGGATTTGGTGGGGAGAGGGAGCCAAGGGGCCCCTCAGAACCTGCAGGGCTGGGGTGACATCACCAAATAATTGGGGTGAAGTGACAAAGGGGACAAACAACGAGGGAAGGTGGCAGGAGTTTGATGCCATACTCATGGCCTGGATGTCACTGTCACCACCTCAATGCCACCCTCACGGCCTGGA